TCAGGTAGTCGCGTTTCCCCGTGCGCTGTAGAGACCCTGCAGGGCTTTTATTTGTTTCTTTTCTTTTTTTATTGCGGAGCAAGGGATACTGGAAAGGAAGAGATAAGAAATTTATAAGTAATTAGATAGAGGTTAAAAATAAATGATAAATAAATAAAATTACACACTACAAGTTTTGAGAGGGCTTAAGGGCTCACTGATCCATGGGGTCTTTATAACCGGAAGAAAAAGTGCTTTGAAGAAAACTATGGCGGGTAGCAGTGCTGATAAAAATACGCTTTGCATATACTTTTTTAAAAAAACATTAAGTTTCAAAACGTCATAATAAATCGAATTCAGAGGGATGCACACAATTGGAGCCAGAGGGGGCGTATGTCCTAAGGGGGGGGGCTTATGATCGGAAATTTTGGTTTTCACATGACGTCATTAAAACTCAAGCTACAAAACTATCGATCCTACCGAGGTTTTACTTTCACGATGTATTAGAGCAGCTGAAAACTAATTTTCATAAAAATTTTCGCTTCAAAAGGTTTCTTGGTTTTGTGATAGAGTACGCTTGAATTTCTAAGCTTTTGCGTAACGCGGCATTTACATGACGGCCAAGAGAGCTGTCAGGTAGGTTTAAAAAATGACTTATTTCAGGACATTTTGCCATCTAAACAGTTCATGTATTAGAAAAAGTATTACTTTAATGTTTATGAGTTCCTCGAAGAATAAATCCACGCTTCTGTAGCAAAACTCGGTACCAGATGAGTCTGTTCATTTCCGTCCGCCATGTTGGAGCTCATCCGGATGAGCTCCAGCATGGCGTCTCCATACAAATCTCTATAATGCACTAGTCATTTGTTTCCTGCGCCCCCCCACCCCCGCGACATTCGGGGACTTTGTCGGGCAATAGCGGGGGAATTACTGCAGCTTTGCGATGATTTTATGCCCAGACCCGCAGGGACTTTACCTCAAATTTGCCTGACCTAAAATACCCGCGGGAAACCCCGGGGGAATTTTCAAAAACAAAGCGCTCACGAGGAGACTGTGTGCAAAGGATTCTGTGTGCATTCCTCACAAGCAGCGATCCAGCATGGCTACCAGAGAGGATAGCGTGACGAAGTAAGTGTCAACAATCCTTTTATATCCTTATGTAAATGAATGCATCCATTGATAAGCCTAATCGCATTTGAAAGAAAACACTTTGACCTTTGTCCAGAGACTATATTTACGCTTTTTTGTTGCGCGAATTCCGTTTAATATGTGATTTCACTTTCATCACTCTAGATGGAAAGCTTTTTTTTCAAATGCTGGAATAAAGGACAGAGCTGAGGAGTATGCTAAGCTTTTCGTCGATAATCGGTAAGTACACAATACAACAAATACACTTTTTGGAAGAATTAATCGTTGTATCTTCTCAGCCTAGCTTTTTTTGCAAGGCTTCAGTTTCTAAAATTTTATGAAAGAGCAAATTCTGATATTCCAATACAGTATAAACACCAGGCTGAGATTTTGCAAAAAAGCACATTTTTTTATTAAGAACAAAACCAGCCTGGCCAAAATAGAAAAAGAAATACTCAGACAAAGCACCACAAAACCAATTTTTTGGAAAAGATTCATAGATGACGTCATATCTATGTGGAACACAAGCAGAGACAAAATAGAGGATTTCCTTGTAAAGGCAAACAGTTTTCACCCAACGATCAAATTCACGGCTGAAATCTCAGAAACAGAAACCACATTCTTAGACACGAAAGTGTACAAAGGTGACAGATTCCAAAAGGAATCTATTCTTGACGTGCGAACGCATTTCAAAGCTACAGAAAAATCAGTGGTCGGTTCCGGCAATTCTACTTTTTGTAAAAAACGCAGATTAAGAAAATGAAAAACGCCTAAAAATCAATATCTTTATTTGTATTCTATACTCAAAACGGAAAAAAGGAAACCCTTTTTTAACTTCCAGTCGCCATTATGGAAACTTGAGAAAAGTGCCCCCTTTTCTCACGAAAAGCCAGATATTTTAAAGATTTTTCTGCGATATAAAGTGAAGCAACTTTCTTGAGTAATATTTATATCTCACGAATCGCAAAAAAACTGGAAAGAGACATTTCTCGAGTTTTTTCTACTTTTTGCCTGTTTCTTCAAAGTAAAACAAAGTCGACCTTTTTCCTCTTTCTTTGTTTGGTCTTTTTGGGCGGACAGCTGTCAAATAAAGGCGGGAATCCCAATCTTCAGTCCTCTCAACTGACAACTGTCAAAAATGACAGGTAATTGTGAGCAGTAAATGGTGACGTTAATTTACAGTTGTTCATATGTAGGCACACTTTGTGTTCCGGCAATGTTTCAAGATTCGGACGTTTACGTCGAGATTTAACTCTAAACAACGGTACTCTGGCCATGGCATTTAGGCTCTTCCTAAACCAGGAGGTCTACGTACATTTCCTTCAAAGAAGGGGAGAAAATTTTCCCATACTGGCTTTTAGCACGACGCGGGCTTTGAGAAGACTTACTCAGTCAACGGAGAACGAATGACTGCCGAATCGGTTTGCTCAGTAGTGTCCGCAGTACATTCTACAGGGCTTGGGGTTCCTCTTTTCTACCAAAGGACGGCCACACGAACAAATCTCAACCCCATGCATGGAAAGAGTGCGGTAGCCATGCAAAAACGACCAACATTTACCCTCACCAAGAGGGGTCTAAAGACGCGGCAGAAATCGCTCATATGGTGGACGTGTCGCCGTCTGGCGAAATTGGAGAAAAGTTCCAGGTGCACCTTGTCGCTGACCGAAGAAACTTCGTCGGTCGATGAAACATTTGCATCCAGAAGAATCACTTCAAAGCCAAATTGTTGTTTTAGTAGCCTCTGTCCTTCATCGACCGACGAAGTTTCTTCGGTCAGCGACATGTTCACGAGCGATTTCCTCCACGCTACTTGACCCTTCTTGATGGTGCTGAAGGTTGGTAGTTTTAATACGGCCAGCGCACTCTGCCCAGGCTGAGGGTTGAAATTTGTTCTTGTCGCCGTCCCCTGGTACGTCTTCTCAAAGTCCTCGACGTGCTAAAAGCCAGTATCTGTTGGTGGAATTATCTCCTCTTCTTCGAAGGAAATGTTCGTAGATCCCCTGGTTTAGATCAAGCATAAATTACCAGGACCTTTGTTTAGAGTTGAAGAATTTAGTTTTACCCCTTTTTTATTTCTTGTCCATCTAAATTTTGACGTAAAGATCCGACATCTTGAAACATTGTCGGAACACAAAGTGTGCAACTACATAATTATACACTTGTAAATTAATGCCACGATTGCCCAGAATTTACCGCCATTTTTTGACAGCTGTCAGTCGAGTGCATTCCGCCAAAAATAGCAAACAAAGAAAGGGGCCGGGAAAAAGTCGACTTTTTTCGACTTTGAAGAAAGAAGCAAAAAGCTGAAAAAACTCGAGAAATTTCTCTTTCTAGCTTTTTTTGCGATTAGTGAGATATACATATTATTCAAGAAAGTTGCTTCAATTTATATCGAAGACAAATGCTAAAAATATCCGGCTTTTCATGAGAAAAGGGGGCACTTTTCTCAGGTTTTCATAAAGGCGAGTGAAAGTTAAAAAAAGGTATCCTTTTTTTTATTTTTGAGTGTGAAATATAAAGAATCACCTTGATTTTTAGGTATTTTTTATTTTCGTTATCCGCGTTTTTTGCAAAAAGTAGAATTGCCAGAACCGACCACTGATTCAGAAACCTTTCAATACACGAATTTCTATTCGTGTCACCCACCAGGCGTCACGAAAGGCTTTATAAAAGGAGAAGCGTTAAGGCTTCTGAGAACAAATTCCTCTCAATTTACTTTTGAGGAAGACATGAGTAATTTCAAAACACGCCTGCAGAATAGAGATTACCCAGCTAGAATTGTAGAAAAACACCTTTCAGAGATTAAATTCTCTGATAGAGAAATGTCGCTAGTGCAGAAAAACAAAACCGCACCTAAGAAAATATTGCCCTTTGTAACACAATACCATCCGGCTTTGCCTAACCTAAAGGACACACTTATGGGGAAATGGCACCTTATAGAAAACCAACCGCAACTGAGAGAAATCTTTAAGGAGCCCCCCATCATCTCATACCGTAAGGGAAAATCCCTAAAGGACATCCTAGTTAAAGCTAAGCTATGAAGGCTTTATTAGAATTTATTCATCCGCGAACTGCAGGAGTTGTGTAGGCTTGTCAACACTTTTATCACCATTTCCATGAAAATCAGTGTCAGACAACCAAACAAGGAACACAATATTAAAATGTCTTTAATATCAACATTTATTAAGACACAACACTATTAATTTGCAGATGAAGAGGTCTTAAACTGTTTATGTAACCAAGGCGAGTATGGCCTGATGGTTGGCTGCGATGGAGCAGAATGTAGCGTAGAGTGGTTCCATCTTCAGTGCGTGGGTCTTAAGGGGAAACCCAAAGCAAAGAAGTGGTTCTGCCCTCTGTGCAATTGATGCTTTAATGTTGTTTTTCTCTTTGAGTATACATACACAACAAGAGGATTTGATACATTCATGTGTGACCATAAAGACCGGCATACACTATACAAACACTGTGCAAGTGATGCCTTAATGTTGTTTTTCTGTTTGATAAATACACAAGAAGAGGATTTGATACATTCCTGTGTGACCATAAAGGCCGGCATACACTACACAAACACTGTGCAGGTGATGCTTTAATGTTGTTTTTCTGTTTGATAATAAATACACAACAAGAGGATTTGATACATTCATGTGTGACCATAAAGGCCGGCATACACTAGGGAACAGGTACCAGGGACTGGTCTCAGGGACCAGTGAGGGGACGAGACCCTGAAGCAAAGTTTGTTGTGTGTACACGTTTACGAGAAGCAATTCCCTGCGACTAGTCCAACCTAATTAGCCCAATTTAAAACGGCCCTTGACAAAACTCTTGTTTGGTGACTTAAATTTCTACATAATGACGTAAGCAGTTTCATGGGTCTAGTCCCAAGGACGTGGTCCCTAGTGTATTAAAACACTCTGAATTTCTCGTCATGTGCGTGTTCTACCAATGTACTTTCTTTGTCCCTTTTTGCTTTAGAATCTCAAAATTATGCCTTTTAAACCCCCGTAAAGTAGCAATGTTGTTGCCAACTGAAATTTGCACTTCCTTCTGAAAAGGCGAACTAGCTTATAGCTATCTTGAATTTATCTTCTTAATAATTTTACAATCACAATTTCCTAAATCTTAGCCCCTTACTAAAAGTGCTTAAAACAAAATGTATGCCCCGTTTTGTGACAGCCACCCATGTGGCCAGGTTTCTCTCGACAAGAACGAGTTCAAGAGGAGGTACCAAAAAACTGTGTTGTTGCTGGCATGGCTCACGATTTTCAAGTCTTCTCTCAGCTTATTGGTTATTCTCTCACACTATTTGTCTGATTAAAAAGCTATCCTCCAAACAACCTCAGTGGTAAGTAGTTTAAGCTGGTTGAAACATTCCTAATAGTTGTTGTTTCTCAAAATGTATTTAGCGCAGAAATAGACAATCTCTTCTTTTACAAGGTCTTTCAGCTAGCCCCGGGGGTTGGTGGTTTTGCAAAGAAATTCTGCCCTGGTGGGTGGTGGAATTCCCCATAATTAGCATCGCTTGTTTGCAAATTCCCCCGCTATGTCGCGGGGGTGGGGGAGCGGGGGAACAAATGACTAGTGCATAAATTTGGGTAGAATATTTCTTCTGATATCTCGTAAATGATATTCCTGTGACCTGAATCTTGGCGAGGGTCTTTGCATATGTACCTCCTTTCATTTCCCAGATTCTGGACTTTATCTATTGAACGGCTTTGATTTTTATTTTCATCTATTTTGAATGGCGTGACACTGAAAACCAGCGAGCGCGAATGGGCTCTGTCAATAGCCTATGAGGCCGAAGCCGAATGGTCTATTGACTCAGCAGAGGCCATGAGGGCAAGGAATAATTGTTTTAGCAAAATCCAACTAGTTGGTCAAAAATATCGCGAATAAAAAAAATTTGGCTAGTTAAAGCTAGACTTTAATCCTTTTTTGCCGCCAAAAAGCCCGCGCTTTTCGTTACTAGTACAATCTCGTCCCCAGGGCTTTTCCCTTAAAAAATGGGTGGGGCGGGAAAAGGGGCACCGGAAGTCGAGTTTAGTCCTTTCCGCGCGCTTTCCCGTCTTCAATTTTGTTGCTAAATCAGCCTATATGGGCAAGACGACAGTGACAAACCCTTGAGTGATGCCAGACCTCACAGTTGCGGGCCACACCGTCTTTAATTAATTACAAAATATATAAACGGCAAACTGATCCTAACAGCAAAGCGATGAAGAGGTAGAAAAATAATATGGTAAAACAATGATATTTCAACCCGCGATATTTTTTTAGGGGACTAAGGAAGAAATTTGGTCAACATGTTGAACAATTTCGTACCCAGATCTCCACAAGAGATTTGCCACTAGCTTAAGTGAAGGTCAGCTAACACCTATTAAAAAATTGAGGACGATTTTTTTATTTCTCCGCATATTAAATTCCTATTTGGTTTATTAAAACTATTTACAATTTTTCTTCATTTTCCACTGTACATTATAACACACACGTTAATACCAACTTTAGTGAGACTAATAACAAGAGTCAACAAAATCACACTAAAAGTTTAAGTACATGTCTAAAATTAAAATAAAATATCTCTATATTTCTCGTTGTACACAGTAAATTTCATACTTCCCCCTATACGAGCTGTAAAGCTCTTCTCAAATTTTTCAGATGAATTTTGGCCCTTGTCAAGTCTGCATCGTTAAAATAAATTATTATTTCAGTCATTTTTCTCAATAAATTTAGGCAAATGACAGTAACTTTTTTTTTAGTCCCACCTCAAGGTGTAACACATTTTACCAAGGCTTGCAAATTAAAACCACTTCCTACAGCGTAGTAAATTAAAAAGCATCAGAGAAATGTACAGTCAAACCCATTTTACGGACACCTGCTTAATACGGACGCGGACAGATTGCTTTGTCCCTGGGGAAAGAAAGCCCGGGGGGAGGGGGGAAAGAAAGCCCCCGGGGGGTGGGGGGAAAGAAAGCCCGTACATTTTCTCTAAATGCAACCCATTTAATACGGTCACTTTCTATGACACCCTCAGTGTCTGTTTTAACGGAGTCTGACTGTACTGCTCGGTAAATCTCACTTCAATAACAATATGTAAGAATTTTCCCCCAAACGCGAAACTCTGCTTTGAATCACCATGTAAAGCATAATAGGCTGATTTAGCGACAGGACGAGAACGTCAGTTGGCGAAGGGAAAGAGCGCGGAAAAGACTAAACACGACTTCCGGTGCCTAATTTGACGCTCTGCCATTGGTCAAGCCAGTAGTTTGATTTGCGCGCGCCGTTGTCAACTGACGTTCCCGTCCTGTTGCTAAATCAGCCTAATGAACAGGAACAACGGAAATTCCTTTTATTTCAAGTACGCAAAAGTCATAAAAGATATATTTAAAAGACCCGCTTCACCTAAAGTAACCTCTAACATGTCAGTCAACAGAAGCGGAGTGATGCCAAAGCCATCTGTTTTCGGAGGTATATAAGAGTTGTCGTTTTGAAGGCGAAAGATTTTCAGTCCCCATCAATTCACTAATCGGGATATGTCATGAATATAAAAGGCGTTCCTGCGAGTAACGAGTAACGTTTTTTCTATTTTCTTTGCCTCTTGAGGGCTCTTCCATATTTCAAAAATGTAAATGTATTAACAGGTGAAATAAAAGATTGTTGTTGTTAACCTTTCAAACTGAATCGTTGCCAGAATTTGCTCAGTTGAAGAGCGCTGTCAAAAGGTTCTGTTCTAGCTGGCCGAAATTGCCTTTATTTTGTGGGTGGGGCAGGGGGGAGGCCCGGGAGAAAAAGTTCAGCCTGCGAAATGCAGACGTAAACTAAAGCCGAAAAAACCGGATGCTCTCGCAGGCTAGAAAAAGTTACGTTTTCAAATGTATATGGATCAGTGTACAAAACTGGGAAATAAGATTGTTTTCGTTAGCTAAACGTTCCCCAGCTGTTGGTGCATGTATAAGTAAAGGATGTACAGTCCTCTATTTTCCATAGGATCATTGGGATCGAGCGCTTACCGTTACGGGCGGCCATCTTGGTTTCAAATGTACCAAGGGGGCGTGCCCCGCCTTCTATTTTTCTCGCCTCCTCCACAACCGTCCCCCGTCTCCTGCCCTCTTCCCCCCACCTAAGTAGATTTGATAGACTCGGTACATTTGCAACCAAGATAGCCGCCTGTATAAGGGTATGTGCTCGATCTTCTTGGACTCTAACTTTCTAAATACGTACAAAAGTGATTTAACTTTTCCGGTATTCACTTCCCCTCCCTTTTGAAATAGAACTGCAGTAGAACACTTTACAAGCGTTTTCCAAGCGTCTTCTGTCAAGTGCCCCGTGATTTGAATGGTGGTACAATCAACCGCAAACCCAGCGCGTTGTAAAACACATTATGACTCGATGTATCCTGAGTATTCTGTTTTAGGACAGGGCATCCGCAAAGCAAGAGAAACTCCATTCAAAGGCTTCTTTTGGTAGAAGTGGATCAGTTCTTTGAGTGTTTTAAATGCTGGTCCTTTGCCGAGGCTAAAGAACGTCTGAGTGCCATCACAAATGTCCTGCAACCAAGTAAAAACAAATGATGACGCTCAGTTCCTCCAAGAGATTCTTGGTTCGTCCTAGCTATCCCTCAAATAAGCTTCTATTTAAAATAAACCTGGGTTGCAGAGGAGCCCAGGTTTACATACTGGTTCTTTGGGAGCGGCTGTCTCATTTCGCTTCTCTCCTCCCCCCTCTCCCCCTGGTTCTCAGGCTTTTGGGGGCTTAATTTTTGCGCAAATAACCGGGGAAAGTGAATCCCCCCTCCTAGCACATCTCCTCCTAGTTAAAATTTACCTGGATTAGCTGACAGTGGTAGACTCTTTTGTTCATACAGAAGGTCAGCACAAAGACTCTAGCAACGGTGGTACTCTCACGAACCAGGAACAGGCTGGTTAAAGAAATAATAATAATAAAAAAGAAATTATTAAAAGGTAACTTTGACATGTACGGTAAGGGACACACCATAAGAAACGTTATTGGGGGTTGGAAGGCGAAGTTCTTTGCGCAAGGGGAAATTGAATGAAAAAATCGTACACGCGGAGTAGTCCTAAAAAATATCCTGCACTGGCAAAAAAAACCGCCACAACTTTACTGATGGCCCGTCCCTGTAGTTTAATGTATGACCCTGCTGTTTATCGCAAATTCAAACAGCATTTTCAAAATACGAAGCTCAAACTCTAATCCGTTCGTTGGCACGAGTGCCCCGGATTAAAATTCATTCATTTCGTTTTCTCACAAGTAATACGGAAATCAAATAGCACCGGGCATATGCAGCCGTAAAGAAGTATTGTTTGAATGGTCGCAGCACAGGATTTCATACACAGACTAGAAAGTTAGAACCTCATTCTTCTTCACGACTCCACGCAAGGGAGCACGCTACCGGTACATAGACAACTAAGAGCTTGTGGCTGTTAATATAGCAACTGCGAGCGAAACTGGAAGTAACGCTAGTGTTGTTACTCAGTGGCATCACATCTCCGCGCAAACTTAAATGGGTTATGTCACGAGGATTTTGCTGGTTTTGATTAATTCTGTGCTGAAGTCATTACTTTGTGCCTGTACACAAAATGCCCCTGTAGAGTAAGGGTCCCCTTGTCCCCAATAGGGTTCTTCAATCCCGTAATCCCGAGGGTTATTTTTGGCATCCCACCTCCCAAGTATACTTTCAATCCCGAATATCGCCCCGATACAGCTTTAAAATCCCGAATCCCGAGCTTCAAATAAGGGAAATCCCGGATCCCGAAAAACCTATTTGGGACCCTCTAGAGTTATTAAATAGATATCAAATATATTTCATCAGGGGGCACTGACCATAATAACTTTTATGGTAATTTTAGAGAGCATAGCTTTAAAACTTCAAAAAGTTCAATCAGTGTCCATCCTTGCCATTCTTTGCAAAAGACGACAGGAACCATTTTCAAAGCCTAAATATTGTCTTAAATAACAAAACTGGACCATTATTTGTGGAATTCAATTTTCAGATAGAAAATAACTTAACAAGACAAGCAACAATAGCTGGGTGTCTTACCCGTCGTGTACTCCTGCAGCTAACAGTAGCTTGAGTGATTGTTCTCTTGTGATCCGCCCATGGTACCACGGCTCTGACGTAAAGTAGTGCGTTCTAGCGGGCGTTTCAGGTAAGACAACTGGATTAGGGCCGTTCACTATAAAAAATCATTTAGCGAAACCATAATTACAGGGAATAAAACTAGCCAATCAAAGCAAATGTGTATGACGTAATGAAACAGGACCAACGCGCTTTAGCTTTTCGTGCAGCCAATTTTATGTTTTCATGCGCTGGCCAGAGTTGCGCGCTTGGCTTTGTGATTAGCGCGAGAAAAACGATACCAGTTCAGGGCGCAGGAAAACATGGCCAGCACACCATGATAAACCGGTGTTAAGCGCGGGAAATTCTGACGTCATTTGAAAACGATCTGTAGAGAAGCATTTTCAGACTTAAACCACAAAGAATCTCTTACCATCAGCCGTAGTGTCGCAGTGTATAAAGTTCTGAGATGCAGAGCGCTGACTGATTTTCTGTGTGAAAAACAAAATTGAAGTCAGAGCTACTCATTAAAAATAATGTACTAAGATTGCAAATCATATTCACAGTGGTCCATATGCAAAGCAAGGAAACAGTTTTTTCGCCTTAGAGTACAACCATTAAGTCTCAACCAAAGCTAAACTGACCAATCACAACGGACGCAGACAATAGCAAAAGCCAATCAGAAGTCGCAACAGATATAAAGCAGCGGACATGAAGGACGGGAAAACGTGCGTGAACACATCACTACTGGTTGTGCCTTTGCCTTTGATTGGTTGAGAAAGTAGCACAGAATTTGTTAGCCAATCAAATTGTGTAGCACCAAAGCAACCGTAAAAAAATGGACTCGTCATTTTCCCGCCAAAGAAAACCCTAAGATGGTAAAAACAGTTTCTGTTCCCCAAGTTATGGATAATTACTTTCGAGCAGTTAATCTACAGCTGTGAATACTTTGCGTGTTCGCTAAAAAAACAAAAAGTTGCGCTCGTTGTTTGGGTTGGTTCATGCGTAATCGTTTCAAGGTCGAACGAAAATCGCTCTATTCCGTCCTTGGCATGTGTATTTTATTTTTCAATTCACTCTCGAGTGCAACAGTTTATAATAAATAGAATTTAGGGATACAATAACTGGACAAGATAAAGGGGAACTTATAATATGCCGTTTTAGTTAAATTACTCTTTAGCACTGAGGGAGGTTAAGAATTTGCGGCCACATTACTCATTGCTTACCACTTTGTTTCGAGTGTTCGCAAGTTTCTGAATTTCTTTGGTATTTGTGATGACCTTTCCTGATTTGCCGGTGAAATCCATCGCTACTTGCCCTTCCTTGGTTGTTATGCTGTTTATAATCTCCCCTCCGTCTCTCTCGCTCATAATATTCTGAAATTAACAATAACTTATTCTCACTATCCACAATAATCATGAATACACAGTGAATATGGAGGGGTGAAAATGGTCGCTGTTCACAGGTGTGGACAGCGGTACGTTCACGCGCATTGAAGGCAGTGCACCGCGTGAGGGCTGAGAGGGTGGGTCGCTGACCACCCTCTGAGATGTTATTAAAGATGTTATCAAACGCACACAATAGAAAGAATGGTGGTCATATATACAACGTAATGAATTGTGGGATATCTATTGTTATGAAAATACTCTTGTTTTATTTCCGGTACTGAGAATAGGTCAACTTTTGTGATTTGTTTAAACGCCAAAGTTGGAAAATTTTAAGCAGCAACACGTTGAAAAGTCAGACAAGACCAAGGTTTTACAACTACCACTACCTTTCAACACTTTCCGTAAAGAAGGGTCAATCAAGAATACTAACCTGTTCTGTTAGTGTTCGATGAGTTCACGTTGTTTCCTCGAAAATGTTTAAAAAGTGAAATCAGAGGTAGGAAAGTAAATAAAGAAGACTGTTAAAGTACAGTAGAAACGGGGCTTGTAGTTCCTTCGTTAATCCTCGGAAAAATGAACAAAACAAAAAATACAACAAAAAAAACGAACTGTTCCGGGTAAATTCTAGGAAATATCTTGCGTAAATCCTTCGTCGGGTGTCTGCGAATCTCAAGAAAACTTGGAGTCATTCAGAAATTGACCAGCGTGATTCAAACTTGAGAAGAATTGGGATATGTTAAGCTCTATTACATACGCAATGCCCTCTACCTCCGTTTTCACCTTTAACAACTTCGACAAAACACCGTTATCCCATCGGTCACTTACATAGAACAGGTCAAATATTTGACTTTCTTCTTGGTATAAACACTCGCTCAAACGTTTCCGGGTTTACCAAGAAATACCAAGCCACTTAATGGGTAACGTACTTGACATTCAACACGTTGTATGTGTAGCATCATATACAGTCAGTACCGACTCAAGGTCATGCTAAATAGATTTCGTATAAATGCTTACACATGGCATTTTCATCTAAAGACTTAGTACAAAGTTCATATTAAAATCTTTTGTACAACATGATGTACAGCAAAACGAGGAAGTACTTCTCAATAGGTTTCAGTTGACGGTCACACCTTAGCATTTCATTCACTAACACAAAAAGATAGAACCATCTTATGCAGCATAATAGACAGTAGTAGAAACTAGAGTACTGCTCAGTAACTTTCATTTGAAGGGTCACAATTTAGGATTTCATCGACAGACTCAAAAGTTAGAACCACCTTGCGCAGCACAATAAACAGTACCACAAGAAAGTACTGCTCTGTAGCTTTCATTTGAATGGTCACACTTCAGGATTTCATCCACAGATTCAAAAGAAAGAACCCCTTTGTACAGCATAATAAACAGTGCCACCGAAAGTACTGCTCAGTACTGCCCCAGTTTAGGATCTCATCCACAGACTCAAAAGTTAGAACCAGCTTGTACAGCACAGTAGACAGTACCAGCGACAGCAAATTGTTGCTCAGTAGATTTAATCATGATCATACAGCAAAATAACCAGTACCAATTCATTAGCTTTCGTTTGAATGGTGACACTTTTAAAAAATTAAAAGCCACGCTAACCGCATGCTAAACAGAACCAGGGAAAATGCTGTTCAGTAGCTTCCACTTGGAGAGTGACAGTTTGAGATTTCACCCAAAGACTCAAACGTTACTGAGAACTGAGCGGACTTTCTCAAAGGCCATTTCAAAAGCACCATAAAGGAAAGTACTTCTCCGAACTTTTAAGCTGTCAGTCCTGAACCTAAAAATTCACCAAATACCTCGAGACTCGAGACTTCCCACGAAGATCAAGATAGAACAGCAACGGACAGGAATTCTCGCCAACAAAAACAATAACCAACATAATATCCCAGAAGACGTGGGCAACAATTTAACTCAGACAATAATTACCTTAGACGGCATTTCAGTGTTTTAAAGCTGAAGAATGGGGCGACTTTTCTTTCAAACGAATCGTGAAGGTAAACACTCTGTTTTTACCTCATGGAGTTTTATCGCTGTGTCGAAAAGTTATTATCCACTTAAAACATTGAATGACTCTTTCTAATCGCCAGTTACGTAGAAGCGAATATGTCAATGGCACAAAGTTAGCTCACTTTTATCTCAAGACCTCAGAGAAACAATATAAAAGGAAATGCATCAAAGGTTATGTCATGTGCTTTTTAAAAACAAGCGCTTTTGACATGTAACCAAGTTTTAGAGACAAACACTGAGACTTTTTTCGGGTGCGGGGGCATTTTGTCTAAGGATGTTTACAGTCAAATGAAATGTTTGACCAGCACCTAAGTTGCGGTTCATTATGCTCTTTGCGGATGAAATACTGAAATGGAACCAATTGACTGGAAATTTATTAAACACAGAAAGATTTTGTTAAGAGTTGTAGGTAATTTTCGGAATTGCTCATCTAAAATCTCAGATCTTTCCCTTGTAATATTAAAGACTAGAAGAAACAAGTACGACGTACCGTTTGTTCGAGTTATTCGTTTATCAGTTTAGTGGTAACCCGATATTTTCAAATCTTTTTATTTTCGAAACTGACCAAAGCTCATATTTGTTCCCGACTGAAACACAACAATTTCTTTTTTCCGGAAGGTTAGAAATATCGAGTCTGCAAAGTATATTCAATTGAAGCCAATTATTTCCTAACTTCACAAGGTGGGCCAATAAAGATAGAGTACTTGAAATAATTACGTAACATAATTATCGAAGCGTTAAAATGTAAATCTAAGTTAACAGTCCCATATCGAATTAACAATATTTCAAATTTTCTATCGTGCTGTTAGCCGTAAGTTTAACACGATTATCATAGGATCTCTGAACAAAATGCTCTGATATTGCTTTCATTTTCTAATTAATACAGATACTGGCTCCGCAGGCCAAGGAAAACATTATGGTTAAAATTTAATAGAGTCAAACCCAAATGTACCGAAATAAGCGTTACCGGCCAACACCTAGTTTTTGGACAATCGACATAACAAGAACATAAAAATTTCTTAGTTCTAAAGAGAACTTTCTTCATAAAAAAAATTCTTGGCACATAACGCGGTTTCTTAGCGATACAACGAAGGGTGGAAGTACGGATTCTATCCCCAAAACAGTTCTGTTTTATTTTCGTCGAACTAGAGTATTGTTTCTTGGGTAGTGCATTTCTTTCAAAAGTAGTAACCGCCAATGAAAAAATAAAAAAGAAACACGCCATAAAAACCAACATAAAACGTCTTGCGCTGACTAGACGAACAACAGACGCCGCGTCGAGCAGACGCATTGCCAATCAAAGTAATGACTACACAATTTCCTTATAGGTGGATATTTGCGTCTCTTGAATCAAGACAAGCATTCGTAGCCCGGTGGGGGTGGGAGGGGGGGCCGGGTTACTCCTTATAATGGCTTATATGGGAAGGCTCCGCTAGAAAGGGTTACCTTTCTCAGGCTTCAGGTATATGAAACAGCTGGTTGAAGTATATTAAGGGGTAGAAATCTGTCATTTCGGTCTGTAAAAGTCCATAAAAAGTGAAAGATGCTTTTTATGGCAGTGAAAAAGTCGAGAAAAAGTTCTGGTTTTGTGATTTGTTCATTTCCAAACGACAGCGCATTTAAAGCAGTCAAAAGGGACGCAAAGTTTTAAGCTAGGCACGTGAAAGGGGTACCATTTGTCAATAGAAAGTATTAAAACGAAAAGGGTAACATCTCTGTCAAAAATAGTATACTAAAGGGTAAGGGGTTGGACTTACGAGCGGAGCCTACCGGTGTGAAACTTTGTTGAGTAGCCCTCCCCCCCGGATTCGTAGCCTGACCAAATTAGCCTTAACGGACCAAAGTAGCTATGTTTAAGAGACAGTCAGACGTCACCAAAACAGAGACATGTCACTTATCTCGTACTTACATTCAAGACCTAATAAGGCTAGATTGGTTAGTTCTCGCCGCGGATATCTAAAATGGCTCGACAACTATTATTATCCAATTCAAAACAATTACAGGGCTTCCCCAAGCTTTTTAGGACAAAATTGGCGTCGGCGGATCATAATGCCAAACATCGCTTTCTTTTTCGTCCTCGGTTCAAAACTTTCGCGCGGTTGTGTTTCTTACTTTACGAACCACAAAAGCAAAAACACACCAAAAAAACCGCCAGCCACGCAGGCTAAATGATAATACGAGGCTTTTAGTCAATTGGCGTAAAACTTATGTCTTAGATTGCTCCAGCCAATCACCATTCGGCCTGAAATTTAGACGAACCAATCAGATCTCGAAGCAAATATGTGCAGCTGACAAAAAGCGCGGGAAAACTCATGTGCGCATCTCGTGGTTGGTTTTAGTTTTACTTCTGATTGGCTACAAAATGGTGCGAGGTTTTTTTTTCAGCCAGCCAATCACAGCGTGGCAACCCAAGACCCAAGCAAACACGAAATTAGTTTAGATATTCAGTCTAATTATTGCTTGCAAATTTTATAAGAATTTGTTAAGCAAGCAGGCTAAAAACGATGTCAGAGTATCACAAGTCAAAAGAGCCAATCCACCAAACACTGTCAAACGTCATCTTATCTTTGAGTTTAAGTACGACTCTACAAACTCCCCTCACCTGATGGTTACCCGCCGAACTCTGTCGATCGAGATACTTCGTGAGCTTCGCAAACTTTCGGAGCATATCGTCGTAATTCTGTCGTAGTTGCGGTCCAAACTGAAAAGCAAACGAACAATATACGTTGCTTAGCGCTGGCCTTCAGACGGCAATAACGGAGCTATCTGAGTTGTACAAGGTATTTGGCTATATATTTCCTGCCTCATGCATCTTGAAGGGGCATGATACTTGAACTATTTATGGCAACTGATGTACGTGACGTCCGCCAAGCTTGTTACCATGACACTTGTTCTTTTTTTTTTCACAAATTGTAATCAGCAGATAGCATACAGATTATGACATCACGTTTTTCTGTACTACAAGTTCCTCAGTTCCTAAACTCATTACTAGCCTTTCCGCACTGCCAGACGAGTTCCTTAAGAAAAATAATTTTTTTTGTTGTAGTCTGACAAGACAACGACTTCATTGACTTTATCTTCGACATGAAGATTTCAGTACCAAAACAATCAATATAACAACAAATGAAACAAAGTAAAATAAAAGTTAAGTAAGAGAGAAAGGAAAAACAACTGTATATTAAACATTAACATAAAAAAAATTACTTGGCTATGTACAGCTTCTACGTTACTCGTATGTTAAGAAAGTTAAATTAGAGTTCGGATTTATAACAATCTAGAATATTTTCAACTTTATAGGCACAAAGATTTATGATGTTTTCATCGCACATAGACATGACAAATAAAATAAAGCTCGCAAAACATATTCGTAAAATTACTGTTAATCCAGTATGGGCTCTCCAAGAAGGTACCCCTTACATGAGAAAGTGATGAGTGATTACATTTGAACAAATAGTGGAATTCACCACCAATTTCGGATCTATCACAAAAGGGGGCAAAGTCTCTCAACTCTGGGTATCTTCTTGTAGAGGAAGAGATGGCTGTATACGAACTATGAAACCCTTGTTGAAATTCAAGTTAAGCGGTTGATTTTTTGTTTGTTTTCTATTCTTGTAAAGACACTGTCAATAAATCTGCAGTCACCTACACCGCCCGCGGGGATATTGTGATGTAAGTATTGGTACACCACATAGATCGTTTCACGAAAAAAGGTCACTAAAGACGAGGAAAGGTCGAAGAGAACAGGAAAGACTAACGGACTAGAACGTCTAAAGATTCAGCCTGTGATAATTCCAGCAGCAGAAGAACAAGCTGAAACTGGAAAGTAGCGTTGTAGAACAGGCGTTATTTTTTCGCGATTTTTAAGCGAGCGAAGACTTGAAGGAAGGGAGCGAGAGCGCGAAACACCGCCTTCGCTCGCTTCCCGCTTGCCTTTGCTCACCAGAAAAACACGAAAAAAAGGCAGTTGTTCTGCAGGCTTAGAAGGTAGAACAAAAAAACGGTGAAGAGACAACTTTTTTCAGGTTTGTTAACAAGCTATTCGTATTATGTATTTTGCGACTATGTTCATGGGAAAAATGGGAAAGAGCAAGTTTAAGTAGAACGTGCAGACGTGTGGAAGTGAAGAAACAAAAATTACAGCTACCATGTGCTCAACCAAATTTGTGTAAGTTTGCCAAATCTAATGCTTCCGTGAGGTGAAAACTACGTACACCCAATCTTTTCTACCAGAGAGTGCTGACCGCGAAAAACCGCTGCATCGTCCCAGCGATTACTTTGGACTTGATTAATACTGAAATAATGACAGGTCTGAGATCTCTATTACTGCTATTTATTTGAACTGGAAAGGGCCATTTTGTTACGCTCTAACTATGCTGTCGTCATAGTGTTTGAAAAAAAACGAAACAAAAATATTCGCCTCCTTCAAATAAGGGCCACGCTATGAATAAGTAAGTTATGAAATCAGTGAATTTGGTACGGTATCCTTTCTCCTGTTTCTTGGTTATAATTCATGTTGAAACGTTCTTACGAAAAGGTTCTTTTTCAGATGACAGATTCTGAACCGGCAATTTCTCATTTCTTACTTTCTTACTGTGTCACGAAATTCAGCCAAATTAGCAAATTACAAAATGCCCGTTAAATTAAGAGAAACACAAAAATATCAGCTTTTAACTTTAAAGGAAGGTTAAAATAACATAACAGAAACTACAGATGCCACGGATGGGCAAAACCAAGAGACTACCTCAGACCCTACGTCATAGTCTCTTGGCAAAACTGAAGAAGATTGAAACGGATTCAGTGAAATTAGGGTTTTTGAAAACTGTTCAGCCTAACAGTTTTTCAAAGTTGACCCCTGCTGCTTGCAACTTCAAAAATAATGCTCAGGAGACATATTTGTTTGTCTCGGATCCCTGATTTTGTCATTTACATGTAATTTCTTTGCTTACGTTAAGTTTCATAGCGATCAAGGGCGAGTAATTTAGCAAAGTAAGACAAAATGAACTGGACTGCCGTGACACAGCCCCTTTAAATCAACTTCCCTGAGTTTGAACACTATCAACAGCGAACAGATGAGTGGGAGAAGAACTCAGACATACTACATGTGATTCAGCGTTTACCGCAATGACGTCCTTCGCCTTCGCTAAGGAAATTGATGAGGCGAAAACGGAAAAATTAGTCAAGGGCATCCACAAAACAACAAACAAAAGATCGAAAACAGAAACAACATCGCCTCAAAAGGAAAAGTGTAAAACAAATAAGATATACACTAAATTACAAAAAAAGTAATTTTTCGTGTGATTTTTTTTATTTGTTTCGCTTACAATCTGTCAATACGCTTGGCGCCAGAGACTTTTGATGCGCAGCTGGAACAGACCGGAAGACTACGCCAGGTCACGCTGAGGGTCACGCTTATATTCGACTTCCGCTACTCAATTTCTATTTTATACTTCATAGACATCCTCTAGTTGAGTTTCCAAGTTTGGCTTTGACAACCACCGACAAACGTCAAAACACAGGTGTGGCGAATTGTCTTAGGAACAAGCGCCGGCGACAAGAATCGACACGAGGAAACAAATGCAGTCTTGCTAAAATATCGAGTTTCATCCGTGCATAAATTCAAACATTTAGTAGAGCGATCCTAAATATCACAAAATGCGCTTACAAAAGGGCACCTTCTTAAAGTTCTGTTGTATGATTTCACCACGGTTTTATAATTGCGGTCACTTGTAAGTGCCAAGCCGGGTATTCTACTTAAGTTAAGATTTCCAAAAGGCAAAAGTGAGAACCACTTTGTCCCACCTTTAAACAATAAAAACAATTCGAGAAGATCTGTTTACTACAGACAACGAACGTCAGTGGATTTTAAAACACAGGCAGTAGATTGATTCTCAGACGCGAAGTCACTCTCCGCTTGGAAAGCAGTGGACTACATGCTAAGCGAAAGATTGAAGAGTGGCTTCAAAGCAATTATTTTAAAATGCTTACATCAACTGCTATTAACGGTCGTGTCAATGAACCGAAACATCAAATTAATAAAGTTTACCTTTGCAATCCTAACAGCCATCGTCCAACTCATCAGAGTTTTTTCGTCGTCCACAGAAAAGCACTTGAGTTCTTTAAAATCTCGAGCTCTGTAAGGCTGGGAAAAAACACAGACAGATTTATGTACAGCATAGATTATAAACCGCGGAAAATTACCCCTGGATGAATGACGCAACAATGTATGTCAGAGCTTTGAATTTCAATTTCCTGCCTTCTATTATTGGCTTGAACACACCCAAAAAAGCAATGACCCAGTTAACCCAATACGGTCAACTCTCTCCAAGACGGACACCTTTGGGACCGGCACTAAGTGTCCGTCTTAGAGAGGTGTCCGTCTTATAGAGAGTCAAATAAAAGGAGTAAAGAAAGGCAGGGACCAACTCTAAGTGTCCGTTTTACAGAGGTGTCCGTAAAGAGAGAGTCGACTGTATACCAATTCTCCACACTGATCTCAATACATTTCTTTAAGATTTAATTGAGAGAATTTGATAAAAGACCAAAGCATTTTCTCATTGGTGATCATTATATTTATTGTCATGACTTTTCTCTCGACATTAAATCAACATTGTAAGGAATTGTTAAAGGAGCGAGGCCACGCTATTTGCGTTCTTTTTTGAAAACCTAAAACTTTTTCGCATAAATTGAATTCTGGAAATAATGGTAGTTTTTTTTCCCAAAACTACCGTAAATCCTCTATTAAGCCCCCAGGGACTTATTTATTTGAAGCCCATTTGAGGCGGGGCTTAATAGAAACGGGGGGGGGCTTATTTGAGAGGGGGGGCGCTTATGTAATTTAGAAACGACGATGGTATCAGTTCTCCATAAAGAACTAGAATGCAAAGTAGAAAAGCTCAAGTACATGAAGATTTAGGCCATGAGGCCGAGGATCAGAATCAAATCCGATCCTCCAGTTGGTAAATAAACCATCCCAAATCAGTCCACACGAAGTCTTACAGTCGTGGTTGCTTAATACAGTCTATCATTAATTAGTGAAGAATAAATAGGGAAGGGGAGGAGGGCTTAATAGAGAGGGAGGGCTTATTAACTTTCTTCCCCTGAAAAAGGAGGGGGGGAGCTTATTAGAGGGAGGGGGCTTATTTGAGAGGGGGCCTTTATAGAGGATTCACAGTATATTTAGGCACTGAAACAGTGTTTCCTGTCGTCTGTTGGTATGCCTGAAAAACTCATCAAAAAAAATTTTCATGGTTATCGCTTCCTGATGAAAACTGTTTGATATCTTCTTTACAACTCTTCAGGAGCGTTTTGTGTATATGTTAGGGCACGAAGTGATAACTTCAGCTCAGAATTGACCTAAAATAGCAACATCCTCTTGTCAAAGCCCCTTTCACACAAACACTACGACTTGAAATACACAATCAAAAGAAAGCAGAAAAAGTAAGTTTAACTCCCAAGACAAACCACGCTGAGAGTCCATTTAACAGGATTATGGACACAAGTACTGACAAAGTCTGTTGATGTTAAGGTGTTATCACTAAAATGAAACTTCTTGGAAGTGGTGTTTTTCTTGGTAGTGGTTTTTCTTTTTGGAGGGGGAGGGGGGTACTTCCTACAATGGCCTACATAGGGAGGTTCCGCCTTAAAGGGGTACCTTTTTCAGGCGCGAGGCATATGAAAGGGTGCGGAATTCACGAGTTGAAGTATGATAAAAGGATAGTCGTTGTGGTCCGTAAAAGGACTGAAAAGGCTAATGAACGCATTTTATGGCCTTGAAAAATGTCAAGAAAACTTCATAGTCTAGCGATGCAGCATTTTAGACTGTATGTGAAAGGAGTACTATATGTCAAAAGAATGTATACGAAGGGGGCTCGTTTTCTGTCAAAATGGTATATAAAACCTGGGTGAGAGGTTGTGCCTCGTCGTGGAGCCTCCCCGTATAGAACTTTGTTAAGTAGCCCACCCGGGCCCCATTCTACTCGCCAGCTTCACCGACTCGTGCCCCGAACCTGCTCCTTCGGTTTTCAAACCGTCATTTCGCCCTAGGATCCTGGGAACTAGTTAAGTAAGACGTTTCCTCTGGTCTACTAGGGTTCGTTTTGGTCAGTCATTCACTCACCACGATACAAAAACAGAATTCTGTAGGCGCCTTGTGAGACTTTTTAGGGTAAAGAATGCTGTAGAGATTCGCTCCGTCAAACTGCACGTAGCTTTCCAAATCTTTGGATGCCTGAAAAACAACACAAGCCACAGAGGAAAACAGTTTTGAAGCAAAGACAACGTGTAAAACACGTATGCTAGTCTAGACATTTACACAAGATAAAACATATTGCGTTAATTTTAACACTTTCGGTTAAAAGCTACGGTCAAAAGGGCAAAAAAAAAAAACCATGCGACTTGTTCCATGAGATGGAAAGCAATGTTGCAAGTTTTACCACCCACCTTACAACAAATCAAGTTGTTGCAATTTTGCGTGAATACTGACTTCTGATTGGATAAAATTATGCGTCACATGGTCCGTGGAATTTACCTCTCTTGATGCAAAACAAGTTTGCCTCGGACCGGTAAAACGAGGGATGTGGATGGGTAAACGCGCAACATATACAAATTTTGTTGCAAAAAGTAAAACTTTTCTCTAGTTTCTAAAACAACTTTTCACAACCTGCAGTAAGCTGATTTGTTGCAAGACAGGTTTGATTCGTGGGTGGAAAAACGCGCAACATCACTAGTCGACTCATTACGCAGCAATGTTGCAAAACAAGTTGCACGTTTTTGTTTTCCATTTTACCTGTATCGGGGGCACCCAACTTCAATTTTCGGAAAATATCTGTTCTGAAGACGATTTGAGATCTAGAATTTTCGGAACATTTGTTGTTAAATTTCTTGCTTGCCTGCCTCTCGTAGGATTTTCGAACTTCTAAAAAATGGTATAATTGCCTATTTTTAACGGATTTTTACCCTAAAAAGGTCACCTAGAATTTTCGGGAGCCTTTTTCCTAGCTAAAATTTTCGAAAAGGTAAGTTTTGATCCCTATAATTTTCGGATCACTAGACTTTCAGCTAGGAAATCCGAACAGATAAAAAAAATTTTAGGGGATAATAATATGCCTATATCTACCGTTTAAATACTAAAATACGTTTAACAATGCTATGTTTAAGTGGTTTTGAACTGTGTTCTAGTTGGGTGCCCCTGCTGTATGCCGAATGTTCACGCTATACTGGACAGCTATCGCACCAGCACGAAAACCATACCGAATGGGGCGTTTGTTCACACATAAGAACGGCTGATTTTGGCGCGATTTCAGTAACGGAGCGACGCTGCGACGCGCCGGTCTCGAAAGTGAGGCGTCACATACCGGATAGGTTCTGTGCTACGCTTCGGTGCACTGTGAACTGGTTTTCGGATAGTAGCGGAGGTGAATAAGTACGAGTGAGGACTGGGATCCGCTTTCACGAAAGTAAATATTCAGGAGTGAAGACTGGGAATCTTCTCGGCCAACCGCTCCGGCACATGTTCGATATGTGTGAACGACTTGTTCCAGTTCTGTGCGGTTACTGTTATTACTATAACAGACAGCTTATCGTGCCGGCAGGAAAAGCTATCTAGTATAGTAAGAACATAGCTTTGAGCTAAAGGAATTCTTGCAAAAACCTTGTCGCATATAACGTGATAGTCTGCTTTCCCTTGGGTGGTGGGGGGAGGAAACTTTCTAGACGGGCGGGGTGGGGGTAGCTTATCAGAGACTGGAGATTAAGTAAGGGAAATATCGTAGAGACTTATAGAGAGAAAAAAAAGAAACTAGTTGTGATTCTACCTTTGATTTGCTTTTACTTGATGAATAAAGTCCTGACCCTCTCAAGAAAATAAATTTCTTGCTCCAGGATTTCTTTCCAAACTCCTTGCAATGTAATGGTCCTTCCACTTCGGGAACTCGGGTACAGGTGCTAAAGAGTTTCTAGAGTGAAATAAACCCCAGATTTACAATAAGAAGCAATCCACTCTTGGTGAAAGGTTTGAACCCAGGAGTAAGTAGGTGGGATATGATGGTCTGGAAATAGGACTGTTGTCAACAGTGAATATCGTTTTGGAACACTGTGTGGTGGTCATCTTAAGGGTCAAAGTGAGTTGTATCACATCTTGATGGTATTAAACTTTGATTATAACTGTGCCCAAAGAAAAGCGAAATGCACTAAAGACATTTAGAGTCTTCATGTGATAGCCAATAAAATCACGGCTTAACTAACAGATGACCCAATAGTGACTTGATTGACCAAATTATCAGGTCAATAGAATAGAATAGAATAATTTATTTAATGACGAAGACGTGGAAAGTATTTGCACACTCTTCCGAGCCAGAGGCTCATGTTAAAAACACTCAACAAACTAAAAATGCCGTCAATGATCTGTGAGAGTACAATCCAAAATAAACATAACATGACTTCAAACCGAACTGGAAGGACACAAACCAGTTGGCTATTTACAAGCATGAGGGAGGAACTGAACTCGGAACTAAGTGAAACAAATTCATTTAATGCTCAAAGTCAGTGGGACCTGTCAATTGTGATAAAAAAGTGCTAGTTCTATACAAGTTTTGAAAAATCTCCCATGTACCTGATGTAAGATTGTCTTGGCTTTCTGAGCCTTCTCAGTGACTGCCTTATCAGAGTTTTCAGAATCCAGCAAATGAGGTGGAAAATAGTTCTGCATGAGAAACACAAAGAAATACTAACTTCACTTCAGATACACAAGTATATGTTTTGGTTCAATTTTGTCCTTAGTTTAAATTTTATTTCCCTTTGGTTTGGGGTACGACCATGTATGATAATGAGTTTAAAACAAACTTAAGGGAAGTAAAAATCATTAAACCAAGGATAAAATTGAACCACAACATATAAAACAATATTTTGAGTTCTTATACTAATATACTATCTACTATACTAGATGCAACATTAGGAAGTTTCATTCACGCAATACTTTAGAGAAATGTACCACAAAGTTTGCTGCATGTAAAGCTGTTATTTTACACAGTCATAAAACCAATTTATTATGTTTAATGTTCTCATTGCTGTTGATGTCGCAGATTCTTAAGCTCCCTAATATTAAGAGTACAAGTTTCATTCACATTCAAAGTGCCAAGATAACTTCTAAAAAAAGAAAACACAGACTTACAGATGTATGTGCAAAGAAGTGGTATTTGTAAGAGTCCTTCCTGAACAATAACTTGTTATTGGAGTGAGGTGCCCATGTGTTCAGAATGGCCATGATATTTTCATGATCCTCTATGTGACGTTCTTCATTAAGGAAAAAGAATATCATTAAGATAGATGTACTAATTTAGTAAAATAATAATTATTGTTGATCAGTGCATATTATGAAAAATGTGCCAGTTGTCATGAGGATAGCTGTTACGCATACAGTTATTTCGAGAAAGGTTGTCAGAGAAAGTCCATGCGACAATCCTGAAAGGTATTGTGGGTGGTTTTGAGTACACTGTTCTTCAAAGAAATTTGAAAGAATGGCACTGGAGGCTACCGACATATGTTTGCGAGTGCTAAATGCAAGCAACAAAAGTACAGCTACAGTCATTAGGAACAATGTATTGATCATATCCCATATTATCTTTCGGGATTGTCATGTGCACATTTTTTCTGACAAAACTTCTTGCCCTGTGTTTTCAAACATTTTCATTAAGGTTTCCTTTTTTTTGGTTTGGGGAATGCCTTTGGGTACTCACCAAGCCCCAAATCAGTCAGATGTTCCACAAGCGCCCATTGAGGGTCATCTTCAGCTTTGTTTAATAGCACAAGCTTGTGACAGGCTTCTCTGGCAGTCATACTGGAGCTTACAAGTAACCCAATAGGTTTATCATCCTCATTGTACACATTCACTGGAACTTCCTGGAATCAAAATTAATATTAACATTTAGCGTCACTTGCCAACAATAAAATGCAGTCAAACCGCCAATGAGTGAAAAACGAAAATGTCATGCTTGGTTATCGTTATTACACTTGATGGTGGATTATAAGAGTCCATATACATTTTTTCTTGGCTGATATACATGGACTTCCTTGAAGAATTAATTGAGAATGTTGTAAAAGAGTAACCTCTCTACTTAATCACATATTGATATGGTCAGGAAAAAATTGGGGTTGATCACTGGGACTAAAAGTGTTAACAGTATTGTATCCCCACAAGATTAAGGCTCCGCCCACACAAAATTGGCACATTTTTTAAACTGCATATTTTGTTACCCAGATTTGTATCGAAGGGGCTCTAAACCACTCTGGTGAGTGGTTTCAAAAACATACAGATTCAGTGAGCAGGTTCACTGTTTCATGTGGACAAAAAGCCGATTCATTTAAAATAACATTATACGGTTTCAAAAATATCCAGATTTGTGTCGACGTTGCCTAAGACCAGTAAGTGTGACACATTGTCATCAGCGTGCTAAGAAAGTGGTGTCCGATAGCCCGGGGCTAGTGGATTTTGCTATCGGGCTAGTGAATTCTGTTTTTAACTTGCCCGATGGGCAAGTGATATTTTTTTATAAATTTGAAGAACAGAAGAACTGTAATCAATCCTGCTCATCAAATTTTTTTCGGGCTAATTGAAATGACTTTTGGGCTAGTACATGCTAGCTACAGCTTGCCCGAATGGCAAGCTGTAAAACTGACTTTCTTTGCACCCTGGTCATTGAATTTTTGTGCTTATACCAGAAAAGCTGTAAGTCTAACCAGAAGACAGAGCTGCTGTTCTGGCTAGAAATCCATCTTGGACCTACTGCTCTAAAATCTAACTATTTTACCCAGCTGGTTTACAAGCAGTGCAGCCATGAATTTGACTAGAATATCCATACCTGTGATCCACTTAGTTTTGTGAATCTAACATCTTGGACCATGTTACTTCCTTGAGCATCTGGCTTCCTCTGAACTTGAGTGCGTCTTGGAAGACCAAGTTGACCAGGGGCAACATAATGATTAGGTTCAGCTTTAGGATGTGAATGTGGGATGTCAACACAGTTTAGAGCTACAGAAGCCTTAGAATCTTCATCAAGCTTTTTGAAACTTCCATGAACCTGCCCACCAAGAGCTACTTCCTTCACAGCACTCTTATGCCCTCCTCTGCTTGAAGGCATGGAATAGTAGCTCTTATCAGCTTGTTTGCTGGATGATTCTGAGTTATGTGATTGTGAAGAGCTAGAGTTAGAATCATTTAATCCTTTGGGTCTTGCTCCAGGTGGTGGCTCAGAAAACTGATTTATCTGTCCTTGTGATGTTGAATTTTGTGAATGTAGAGACTTAAACAGGGAGGTACTGTCTTCCTTAGCTCTTGCACCTGACTGAATAGAAAAATGATTGGTAGGCCGATGTGTCATTGAATATGGAGAAATTTGTGACTGTACAGCATTCGTGTGAGAAGGATGATCTTCATTGGGTCTTAATCCTGCTGCCATTGAATTGTGATTGTCACAGCTTGCATCACCCATAGGCCTATAATAAACTTGATCACAGGTGTTATTTACATGCTGTGGTGCTATAAAGTTATCCTGACTGAAGGAACCATAATGGGATTTCTGAACTTGATGAGGAATTAGAAACTTCTGGTCTTGGCTATCTAACTCATCAGTATCAGCTGTCAGTGATTCCAAACTCAAGTCGGTGGCATAATGAGCTATGATATATAAAAAAACAAATGAGCGGTATATACGTAAAAAAAAAAAAAGGCAAATACGAAAAAAAAAACAAAGTTTAATTCGAAGAAAACCAACATCAGATCTATGAGAGGGTTATGTTAAAGCCACCTTACAAATGCATCCAGAGAGAAACCCTTGTATAAATGTGGAAATCTGTGTCTTATTAACCCTCTGAAATTCAAATACTACAGATGTTTCCCTTCCCAAAATTATCTGGCAATGTTTCAGTGTCACAGTGTCAATGTGGAGATCATTAGAATCTGTGATCAATAATATTATTGGTCTTTGAGTGGAATCACTGCAGAAGCCATACAGTAAATTACCCAGAGGGAGTACTCCGGATTTCAAGTGACAGGTATGATCGAATGGGGGCAAAAATCAAAACCCAAAAAAATCGCTGGACCAAAATTTAACCCCCAAAAAATCCCACGCCGAATATTTCCTAGCCATAAGAATTTATTCACGGAACTACATGACTGGGATACGTAGTAACTATCATAAATCTTCAGATTGTTTTGAATACCCGAAAAAATCCCTACTTAAATCAAGCTACCCCCCAAACTACTTGTCAAACTTTTCCACCCTAAAAAAATCCCATAATTGAAAATTTCAAACCCCAAAAATCCTTCAATCATCCCCGTCACTTGAAATCCGGAGTACCCACCCTGGGGTAAATTAATGTTAAGTATTTTAGGTCTTTTGTGCAGTACTTACAGTCTTCACTACTGTCATTAACCTCATCAACCTAAATAGGTACAAAAAATTATTGAGGATATTCATATATTACAAAAAGTGGCACAAGTCTACCTTTTATCCCCAAAGAAAGAACTGTCATGCTACACATTCTTCCATACTTACCTTGTTGACCTCTAAGGAATTTAACTCCCCAATCAAACTTCCCAAATTTTCCAATACATGGCTAATATCTGTCACATCATTACTGTGACTGGTTTGTGATGAGGCCATGATTAACTGTTCCAAGGATTTTTCAGCTGATGCAACAGCATTGTGATGAAATGTTCTTAAAATAACCAATGTTCACCCTCTGTTTCCTCCTATCTTCATGTTGGACAAAAATGATGCGCCCTGAAAAAAAAAAGACAAACAGAATTAGATTACTATCCAATCAAACCACTAACAAAACAAGCTGACTTGTTTGGATTGAAAGCATCGCTGTGGCCTTATTTAATACATGGAATATATATCAGTAAATTGAATGAACAAGTTTTGAAGAATTATCTCTCAGTTTATTAGAAGGAAATTACTTGCATTAATGTTTTATCTGAAGGTATTAACTCACAATAATAAGTAAGTCTCAGCTTAAGTTTTTTAACTGAACAATGAATATTACAGCAACAATATAACTTTGTTTCCATGTGCTATGTGTTTAAACAAAACACCTGTTAGAAGACAAAAACATCAGTTAACTAAGTATGAGTTTATAAAACTCTTTTTCTGTGATATTAAGTGAAATCGACGGACTTCAGAAAAAGACCCAATTCTAGACTTAAGCGCGTTTTATTGATAAAGAGGTCATGCATACAATGTGCTGTAAGATCAACTGAGAAAATTACCAAGGAAACAGAATGCAGAGGTACAATGCTCAAACGTAGGCAATGCAACACATTTAATAATAGTTATGTCATAAATATATTATCTCTGATCGAAATTTAACTATTCCTTGAGAACAGAAAACATTCAGTATTTCAGGTGAGAATTGGAAATCACAAAAACACTGCAATAACACAACAGTTAGCTATAAAATAATATAAACTTTTTAATTACCTAATCAGTGATCAAAAACAGAGCTCTGCAGACCGTCCATGCAATAAGAGATCGTCTTTAAAATACTCACATGTAACTCGTGCGAATTTGAGAACAAGGAATACAGAGGCTTATGCAAACCAAAATGAATACCTTCATCAACCAGTTGCGTTTAATTACGCAATTTTCAGTTATTGACCGGGAAAACACCGCATACATATGCACGTATAAAGATGACACGATGTGTTCATATTTCTTCTAATGAGTTAGCCCGCGTGTTTCTAACAGTTCGTCAGCGGTATTTCTTCTAGTTACCAGTCCTTACCCAGCTAAGGCAGAACGCCTGGTACTTTTTATCAAAACAAGATGTCACGGTCTGAAAGAAATTTTGAGAACACTTTTCAAGATTATGACGGAAGAACTAGTTTGCAAAGCCCTGATGGCAAGGTGAAGAGAAAAACATATTTTCTTTGTTCTCTTTGTGTCATGCAATTCGTGTTTTCAACCTTGATACAAAACCAAGTAATGTTTGAAATAAGCTTACTCCATTTGTATGACGGTGTTTAGACAATGACTGTCTGCACGTATCTCTGCAGATTGCTGAACCATTTCTTTCCAGACTAAAAGATGAAACTTATAAGTTATTAAAGCAATGCGAAGAAGGATTTCAGTACACCAGGGATGATCGTGATTATTCAGTCTACACCGGCAGTGGAGGTAGATTGATACTTAGACACTCCCAACTGCTTACTACATACTGCCCTGGCGGATCAGAGAATTCAGAAAGAGGGGATTGAGATACTTGCCAGCTATATGGATACTATTAATTTTATTCATTGATTAAGGAGCACTGAGAGCACCTGGGTACAGAAATTAAGGCTGCATTAGATTGATTTTACTGAGTATTGTTTAAAAAAATAAAAGACGATTTCAGAGAAAGGGGGTAAGGGGTGTGGCCCCCTCTGCCGGGTTCCTCTTAAAACTTTTCCCCTGGCCTAGTCTTGCCAACCCTCTGCATGTGTGAGACCTGTAACTTTTTCCTTCCATGTTCTTTTTCAATGTTTTTGTACTTAATAAAATTAATTTTCCTTACTAGGTATGGCATTCTTGTACATGCATTTATCTGAAACACTGTTTAAGGATAATGAAGACCAAAGGCAGAAATACTTGAAAAATTCCCTTAGAATTCTGGAACATGATCAGCATGGTCTAAGAGGGAGGAGGATGACATTTGTTTGTGGAGATCCAGGTGATAAAATGTATTAATATTAATGTTTCCTTAGATCCTACTATGTGCCTAGCAGAGATTTATTTCATGCATGGATTTTAACATCTACAAAGTGGCTCACATTGCTGACATTCACTGAAATGTCAGCAATGCGAACAACTTTGTAAATGCTTAACCCTTGAGACCCTAAGATCAAAATTTGAATTCTCATTTGTTGCCTCTATTCATTTCGTACAAAAGTAGGGGGGAGAAGTTGATGATATATCAAGCACATTCATCTTGTGTAATCATGTCCGTTTTTCTCATAATAATAATAATAATAATAATAATAATAATAATAATTTTCCCCCTTACCTTCAGGTATCCTTTCTTCATTGGCTGTTCTTTATTCAAAGCTCGGTCAAGAAGATAAAAGTACAAAATGTCTTTCCAAGCTGTTAAGTCTGTCAGACAATGTATGTGGAGGAGATCCATCTCTCCCAGATGAAGTCCTATATGGTCGAGCTGGCTACTTATTTTCCTTGTTGTTTGCACAAAAACATTTGGGGGAAGAGAAGATTCCCCATGACATTATCAACCAGGTGTGGTACATGGACCTTCATTTGTGCAACCAACTGATGTACATGCAAGACAGTAATCACCTCTAGTCCTCATATGTTTTTCTAGACAAAATCTCTGTAGTGTTGTGCAACCTCCATCAAGCCAGGTTTTTTTATGTTGGGAAAATTGATTGTACTGTTTCCTAATCATCCTAGATTTTGCCGACATGTGAGGGGAATCCAAAATTCTGTCCCAGATGCCATTTTGCTGATTTTTGAGAGGACTGGAGCCATGCAAGGCAGTGGGAGGATTAGGACATAGCAAAAATAATCAGTCATTGATCCCCAACATCCCTGACAGCACAAATTTGAGTTTACATTATTTTGTTGGGAATGACAGCAGACCATTGCAGAAGTTGGGAAAAAAGACATGTTCCAGATTCTCCTGATTTCTCCCTGACCATCCAGAGCAATCACAGATATCTACAATTTTGAGTTTTCATTTGTCAGAAAAATCTAGAACAGTCGGGAGGCATTCACCATAGCCCTGGCTTTTACCCTGAATCCTTAGTAACAAAATAGCCATTTTACCAGCTACAGCAGTGCCAGATCCAGACCTTGAGATAAGGAGGGGGGGGCCTGGTGATCCAGACCCTTAAATAAGGATGGGAGGGTGGTGTCCCAAAAAATTTTTTTTAGCCCTTTGGGCCTCTGTTTGGTTCAAAAATAAGGGGAAGGCCTGGCCCCCCTGGATCCGCCACTGTACATTAACTCCCACTGTAAATGGTTCTTTTAGGTTTGCCAAGTAATCCTAGATTCTGGCGAAAGGCTATCTAGAAGAGAGAGAAGCAACTCTCCTTTGATGTTTATGTGGCATGAAAAGCATTACGTTGGGGCAGCACATGGCATTGTTGGTATCATGTTCATGTTACTTCAGGTAAAAAAGATAGGTATTTACTTTTGAAGCATACTAAATAACATAAATTTATTTAAGCTTCTATGTTTCCCTTTGGTTTTTGGTAGTGTTTCATATGTAGTGTATTTAGTTTTTCTGTATTTTTGAACTTAAAGGTCGTTTATTAGAAAAACTGAGCAATTTAACAAAATTGCATTTTGTTTTTTTAAATTATTATTTTGACTTGGTTATTTTAATTTGGCCGTTAATTCCAAAGCTCAAAACCCCTTGGACTTGACTGAGCCACATGCCTATTTTTTAAATGACCTAGCTCAACCCCTGCGCCACATGCCTATTTTTTTTTTCAGTTACCTCCATGGGCCGGCCTATTGCACTCTTGGTCCATGTCCCTTTTTTTCAAGTCAAAAATTTTGCAATATGAAGGTCAAATTAAAAGTAAAATTTAAAAAAAAAATCAGTAAAACAAAATTAAAATAACAACACAAGTGAAATGTATCAAACAACAAACTGAAGGGAAAGTGAAAACAAAGGAAAATCAAAAGAAATGCAAAAGAAATATAAAATTAATTTAAATAACATATTAAAGTAAAAATAATATTGTGAATGGAAAATTAAATGAAAAAAACTCTATGGCCCCTTGGTAGGCCACCATACAAGTGCTATCAATATTCTCAATTAACTGACTTTTTACATTTTCAGTTATTATGATTACTCATGGTCAACCAGCTACTGTAGCTTTATAATTATTTTGGGGGTCCAAAATATTGTATGTATTTTCTATTAATTTATTCCATTTCTTGTACATCTTTTTAGCTGCCTACTGCCATTAGAGATAAATGTTGTTTAAAGAGGCCCTTGGAAACCTTGGAATCCTTTAAATCCTCTACCAGATCCTCTACCTTGAATTCTGCTGTTCTTTTCTTTAAATAATTAGGCACTGTCTGCACAATCTGTTCAGTCTCACCTGGGAAGTGTAGAGAGCTGTGTTGAGTTTCTTTTGTCAAAGCAGTTTCCATCAGGAAATTTTCCTTCTTCACTTGAGAGTGGTACTGACAAGCTAATCCACTGGTGTCATGGGGCTCCTGGAGCGGTGCATCTGATGATCAAGGCATATCAGGTATAGTGATCACTGCTATCACCTAGATAGTATAGGGAGATGGTGAGACACCTCTCCTTTCAGTGGATATCTTCAGTGGCAGATGTAGGAGAGGGGTCCAGGAGCCTGCTCCCCCCACCCCCCTTATTTTTAGATCAAACTGAAGCCAGAAGGGCTGAAAAAATTTTTTTGGAGACTGGGCCCCTCTTCTATCTCAGGGTCTGGATTACCAGCTCCAACCCCCCCACCCATCTTATCTCAAGGTGTGGATCGGGCACTGGTCTTAGCCCAAACCTTCCAACTCTCACAATTTGAGCAATCAATTCATGGTCTCATGATTTAGCCTTCAAATCTCACAGTGAATCAGAAAATCTTAAAATTGCCATGATTTTGGGGGGAACCATAGTCCAATTCCAACTTCATTCCAACGAAACATAGGTTTGCTAAGGTCTGTGGGAAAGCCCTTTTGATAGCATACTTACTTGGCTGCTTGCCGTCTTATTGACCTGAATAGTAAAACAAAATCTTCTCATCACTGCGAAAAGAGCAACAGGACAGTACAACAGAGACCACTAATAGGGTGAAGAATACCATGACAAAAGTAATCTGCCATTTTGGTTGGGGTGGAGCGTACCTCTATAAAGCTTTAGGGAGTGCCGCTCCTTGGGCATATTATATACCTTACCTCCATCAGGCATGTGAGTGGTCATTTCCTACACTGTGGCAAATTTCCCCTTTTTTCTTGCAAGGTTTTTGGAAAGGAAAAGTATCTGGATGCAGCTCTTAAGTGTGGAGAAGTTGTTTGGAGCCATGGTCTTCTAAAGAAAGGTTATGGAATCTGTCATGGTGTGGCAGGAAATGCTTACACTTTTTTGAGCTTGTTCAAGCAGACTGGAGACCAAAAGTATCTTCATCGAGCAATCAAGGTTGGTTCTTTGGACCTTTCTTACATCTCATATCACCACAAGATAATAAAACTCTGACAAACTTAAATATTGAAAAACAGCCCACCCGTTAGTTATTTTCACAAAGTTGTGTCTTGGGGTAATTCTCAAAAATTCAAAATGGGTAAAAAGAACACCTTTGAGACAATGTAAACTCTAGTAAGCCTAAGAAAGTGAGACTTGAGATGCCCAAAATTCAATATTCAGGTCATTCTTTGAAACATTAAGTGGTTCTCTCCAAACTCCTCTCTCTGCCTCAACGTTATCTCTCAGAGTACATTTTAACATTTGCACTCATCACCTTTTTTCAAGACATGGTTATTTAAAGCCAACATTTGATATTGAAATTTCCTATCTGTAACATTACATGAGATTGTAACTGAATGTGTCAAATTTTAGTTTGCAGAATGGTGTTTTGACTATGGTCAGCATGGCTGTCGTACCCCAGACCATCCTTACTCTTTATTTGAAGGTATGTTTTTCCTCCTCCATAAAGATAAAGTGACAGTTAATCTTTCAATGTTAATAATATGATGGTTTTTAACTTGAGGTTGGAGTGATCTCCGAAAGCTGTGCACTTTCAATTCAAAGCTCACAGCAGAGAACATAGCAGTGGCTGTCTGTGATGGGAACCATGTTGCATGGATGATAATTTACACTGCCTTACATTAACAGGCATGTAGCCTGCGTGGCAGATGTAGTTTAACTCCCGTTAGCAATGTCTGCAAAGCAGCACTAAGATCCTTTTGCTGGAGGACCAACAGACTCAATGAATTACCGGAAATGCGTTTTGAATTTCCTTTCAACCTGGGCCCAGTTGCTCGAAGCATGGTTAGCGTTAACCAGGGTTTAATACCTTGACAACGTATTGGTTTTGATACTGCTTAGACAGTCTACTGCTTAACCAATGGTTAAAGCTAACCATGCTTTGAGCAACTCAGCCCTGATTGACAAATCGCACACGCGAATCATGGCATGTACTCAAATCCAAGTACACAGGTGCGAGTCCAGTAAAAAGATATTGGCACTGTTTCCCAGACAGACTTAACAAGAGTTTGGTTTTGTCTGTGGCACAGGATATGATTGACTGTTTTTTGCTTTTTTCCCCTAGGTATGGCTGGCACAGTTTACTTCTTAGCTGACTTACTGGAGCCTAAATCATCTAAATTTCCTGCATTTGAGATTTAGCTGCCTGTCACTTGACTGTACACTGCTGAGCAATTAAAAGGACATCAAAAATATTGGCTCACTCTAACAGATACAACTGCTCTGTACTCAAAACATCAGGAGGGGTCATATGTACAATGAATATAATAATATCATTGCTCTAAACAGGGCTTCAAAAAAGTCATTTCTGGTTGTACTCAGCATGTGTTGCAGCTGGAACTGTCACTGGAGACCTGACTAAAAAAGTTAAGATATAGTCTCTTTTTGACAAGTGGTCCCAAAAGCTTGTTCTTATAACCTCAGGTTTGCTGTATTATTTTCTCATTGGCAAGATTTTTTAAATTGCACTCTGTCTACATTAGGGATTTTGACTGTTTACGAGGCTTGATAATCAGCAAGGACAAGTAGATTTCCTGCCAGCAAGTGGACACCCATTTAATAATTATTATTAATTTTCTGGTTTAAACCCTGGCGTTACCTTTAGCGGTGAACGTGTATTTGATGGGAAGTCCCAACCACTTTGCAAGGTTTGCTTCCTTTAAGAGACTTAGTTCCAAGAAGAAAAGTATAAAAACATTGTTTTTCACGTTAATTTAAGTATAATGGTGTACTATAATAAAAATAAAACTGTAAGTTTTTATTAAAACGTTATTAAAACTATGAAAGGTTTGAACCCAGGAGTTATTTCATAAGTGGGTTGAGTATGGATGTCCGGTTGAATGTAGTCCTGAATAGGACTGTTATTGTTGACAGTGACTGATGTTTCGACAACCTGTGTGGTAGTCATAGTCACAGTCAAAGTGAGTTGTATCACGCCAGTTGATGGTCATCAACACTGATGTCTAGATCAATGTATGCAAGGAAGAAAATGAAAAATGACCCTGTACATAACTACAAACCAACAATACATAGCTTTTCAAGAGTCATAATAATTTAATCAAAGACATTTCAGAAAAATAATTTTCTGTCTATTTATACCAATTTTATCAGCTAAAGAAAATGTCCTTGACCACAACACTTCTAGATCCCTAGGCATAGTTTCAGTTGTTTCCAAAGGTCTACAAGACTCATCAGAAACAACATCCATGGCTAAGCCTTGGAAAGTGATTCCAGTATTTATTCTCTGTTGCTCTCTGTCAGTCTCAACTCCTACATTTTCAACTCCATTAGCTGTATCTGCTGTATGAAGCATTTCAAATGCTGAACTTAACTCATTGCCGTCAATGTATTGTTCTTCAGTCTTGTTTCCCACTCTTGGTGGTGCCACGGAGCCTTTGAAATACCCCACTGTCTGACTGATTCTGTTTTCGAATGCCTGTTGCATATTTTGCACCTCAAGAGCATTCCTCTCAATTTTTGTAGCCTCGGCAAGTAGTTCTGTGATTTCAGACACGATGTCTGGATTGGAATCTTGCACATACTTCGATATCACTAGCGACATCAGAGCACTGTAACAGGAAAGAATGTAGTCAATGAAAAACTCATGGACTTTTTGTTCTGTTTCCTGAGAGTGTCTACTAATGTGTAGCTCATTTAACAGTCAGTGCAAATAATACATAGAGTATTCTGGTGATAAACGCCCTTGCATATGAGCCAAATTAACCCTCTTGATTCCTTTTGTTCGATATCAGTTCTTAACAAGTCACAGCATTGCTACATGGAGTTGGGTGGCTCAGTTGTCCAGACCCAACTGAGTAAAGGGAGAGAGGTGGGGGGGGGGGTACTTTAATATATGGGCTATAGGTAGTGTATGTGCTGTGGAGGGTACAACTGTACCTGACATGTCCCCAGCTGTCCCTTATTATTTGCAAACGATCAAGTAACATTGGAAGAGACTATTACCACATCTGGTGCAAAGGAGACAATGGGAAAGTAAAAGGGGTCTCCCCTCTTTCCTCCTTTTCATCATCCCCGATGCTCCCCTTGACCACACTTCTCTCATTAATAAGGACTTTAAGATCAAATGATGCAAGAGCAACAAGCACATCGCCGAAAAAATGAATTTGCGTTCTTTCAGTCTTTACTGGGATTATTCCTACTTACTTACTTTGTCAAACGTACGTGAACACTTCTGAATTTGAATTTGAAGCTATGCAAAGGGACCATATTTAAGTACAGAAAGTGAAATACTTGTGTGAAAATGGCAAAGAAAATAATGTAGGAAAAAGGGCCATGCATGAGAAAAGTTGTTGTTTTGCTCCTTAAACCTATTTTGTTCTCGTTTGAAGCTATGCAAAGGGACCATATTTAAGTACAGAAAGTGAAATACTTGTGTGAAAATGGCAAAGAAAATAATGTAGAAAAAAGGGCCATGCATGAGAAAAGTTGTTGTTTTGCTCCTTAAACCTATTTTGTTCTCGTTTGAAGCTATGCAAAGGGACCATATTTAAGTACAGAAAGTGAAATACTTGTGTGAAAATGGCAAAGAAAATAATGTAGGAAAAAAGGACCATGAGAAAAGTTGTTGTTTTGCTCCTTAAACCTATTTAAGTACATGCAAAGGGAAATATTTAAGTACAGTGAAAATGTGCAAAAAAAAAATAATGTAGGAAAAAGGGCCATGCATGAGAAAAGTTGTTGTTTTGCTCCTTAAACCTATTTTGTTCTCGTTGCCGTCACGTCATTGAATCTTAAAGTCCCTAATATTAATAGGACACCGAGAGATGACTGGGGACAAGTCAGGGAGAGTACAGTTTTCAGGCAGTTTTAATACTCTGGCTAGGGTATAGAAATTAAAAAATTACAGCACATCATAAGAATAAGAGGTTTTGGTTATTAACTAAAGCTTTATGTCCAGGATCTGCCTCAGTCTAGAAAGTTACAACATGCTGCTGGACATGGTTAAGGCTCAGGGCTACACATATCCAACTAGCACACCCCCACCCCATGCATTCCTAGAACTCAATTTAGTCCCCAGAATGCTGAAAATTGCATTTTAGGGTTTTCAAATTTTACAATTTTCTGAGGGTCCATGCCCCCAGACCCCCCTAAAAGAAGAGAACAAATGACTATTTATTGATACCATCGGTTACTCTATAATTCAAACTTGCTGGCTACTTCAGTCGTTATTGAAACCCCTGAACAAATGACTGGAATGACCCAAGCATGTGAACATTAGTAAGGATAACTTTTGCCACTGACTGCTATTGCAACTCACTGCTCTTGGTTGTTAAGTTAGTAACATGGCATTTACCAGCACTTGGCAGCACCCAGTTTACAAGTGCAAATAATAAACCTTAACAACTGGTTTTACAGTACAAGTATGTTTATCTATACCTCAAAGCCCCTCTCAAAGTTGCCCATTTCCTTGAAACGTAAGTAGCATAAGAAAATCCTTCGTTAAAACCTTGTTGTAAATGTGCTTCTTTTCCTGATTCAATGCCCTTGCGGTATCCTGCCTAAAACGAAACAGGAAAAATTTGTTTGGCTTTGGCTCTAACCACAAAACTCTGCAGTATTAAATGAACTACTGTAAAATTCAGAAAATAAGCCCCTCCAAATATAATCCCCCCAAACCGGTACCGCAAGAAACCCTCTGTTAAATCGCCCCTCCAAATATAAGCCCCCCGGGGGCTTGTGCTTGGAAAATTGCCCTCAAATACAAAGTAAAACAAAACAGAAACGGTAAATTTACTTCCAACTATAAGGCTAGCCCAATCGATTTTGAAATGCAAATTTCGCTCCGTAGATAAGCCCGTCCGAAAATAAGCCCCTCAAAAAGGGCCGTTGAAAAATATAAGCCCCGGGGCTTATTTTCGGAATTTTACGGTATATTTCATAACTCATATATCTCATAACTTATCAGTTCATTAAGTAACTCATTTGTGTGAAATAGCGTGAGTTGCATGGGGCTGAGCTGTACAAAGATCTTACAAGTATTACTTTCAAGAGTGGCAAAATCAAATTCGGGAAGGAGTACAAAATAAATGCCCAAAAACATAAACGTGAGCTCGAGCAAACAAACGTACAGTACAGGCCGTCACATAAAAAATGAAACGAAAAATATCCCAAAACTGCCCAGTTCAGCAAACTGAACACTCCAATTTGCCAAAAATTAAAATGCAAGCAGATCTTAATATATTTTACCAGTTCATGCGTTTGTTTCACTCTTTGATAGTCCATATTTACGTCGTTCATTTCTTGAAATTCTTCTTGTTCGTCCGCCATCTTAAAAGCATAATTATGCGTAATTTATGCACCACGCATGCCCAAACCAATTAGCGCACCAGTGCGTCTGCAATCCAAAATGGCGCCCATGTCAGTCTGAAAACTTCATTGTGAAAATCCACTTTCATCTTGTTTCCTTCATTCTGAAAATGCGTTTCCCATAAAATCTCTTTATTCCAGATATTTACTCTTGTGTTTTACGGGTTTATTTCTCAATGAAGCGAACAATGTAGTGACATTTCCGCCAAAACTTTCTTATCGGGATCAAGATGCCCAGTTCCCGAAATGAAAAGGAATTGAGCCCTTCTGCTCGAAACCATAGCAAAAGCAAAAAGTCATCCCATAAACAAAAGAAACATAAGAAACGTCCCAAAACTGAGGCTTCGGCTGAAAAGCTAAAGGGACAATATGAAGATATTTCCTCAGCTTCGGAAGAAACCGCAGAGTTGCCCGTTCAAAAGTACAGCTCCATCTCACGGAGCCCTTCGCCCATGGCGTCGAAAAAATCAAAGGCTAATGTAAAGAGGAAGAAGTCAAAAAAGGATAGCTTGGTGCAAGGATCAAGCAAAAAGCGCAGGAAACGTGGCAGGTCGCCCGTAAATGTTTCGCTCGCAAAGGTTGAGGGGCCACCGTTGTCTCCTGTTTCAAGCTCGAAATGGAAAGACATGACTCCTTCGCCGAAGCTGCCGCCATCAAATAAGGATATCTACCGGCAGATCTCACCATCTATGGTAAAGAAACGTGGATCAGAGTCGCCTTATGTTCCAATAGCGTACAGGCCGCCAAAGTCACCAAGTATTAGTCCCACCAGATCTCCAATTGCAATGTACAAGAGAGAGAGGTCTCCTTTCAAGGCTAGATCGCCTATGAAAGTGTGGTCCAGATCTCCTTATAGCCACAGATCAAGATCGCCCTCCCCTCCGAGGGGGAGATCACCCATGAGAACTTATAGATCACCGGAAAGGTCTCCATATCGATCACCTATGGGACGTTTGTCGCCGTTTGGTCGGAGTAGGTCTTTTGCCTCTTATGGCAGAAGACGGTCACCTTCACCATATGGGCGCCACTCTCCTTCACCACCACCATTTAGGAACACTGGAATGCGAAATAGGCCAGTGCAAAGGAATAGACACCGCAGTAGATCTTTGTCGCCGCATACATCAAAATATAGGAAATCACCAGTCCGAACAAAAATTCGAAGTCGTTCTCCTCCAAAGAGATCACCACACAGAGGCACCCAGCGCAGCCCTGATGTACATCATTCTGCATATAAATCAGGAAATAAGAGGTCAAATTCTTCCAGGAATGAGCCTGCACGGTCAACAGATACCAAGTCTGCAAACAGAGACTCTATAGAAAAATCTTATAGTTCCAAGGACAATGTACTCAAGGCTAAGAGCAAACTTGAAAGTGTGGATGGAGTTAAAAGGAATGTAACAAGGGATACTCAGAAGCAGCCTCTCACTAAAACAACAAAGCCAAATTTAGAGACTGGTGTGAAAGATTCTCCAGCAAATGGACCAACAAAGGACTCTAACTTGAATTCATCTGGAGTTAAATCAGGAACTGGTGATGTGAATAAGATAAGTCAAACAGAGACAGCACCTGCTCTTCCACTTCCTCCTTTAAATGAACCAGCCCCTCCGCCTCTTCCCAGTGATGAGCCTCCTCCGCTTCCTCCTGATGAAGAAAAACCGCCACCTCCTCCTGCTCCGACGTTACCACCCTTACCACTGCCGCCAGAACTCCCTGGCACACCAGGCGAGTCACCAGCATCTTATTCACCACATTCCCCCGGGGGTAAACCTCCTGCATCTCCAAAGTCAGCTGCCAAAGACGCAGAAGCAACTGGGCCGAGTAGTCAGAGTGGGACGCCACTATCTACACCAGATACAACACCAAAGACACCAGCGGAAAGTGAGTGGGGAGAGAGGTGTGTGGACATGTTTCAGATCATTGATCAAGTGGGAGAGGGGACATATGGACAAGTATACAAGGCAAAGGATAAAATCACAGGTAAAGTATATAAATAATTGATCACATTACACATTGTAGTTGTTTGTATAGTTGTGTTTGTTTGTGAGGGGGCATCTGTACACAGGCTATTGCTTTTTATGTGAAATGGTTTGGTACATGTTGTTGTTGGCTTCCTAATTGTTTTTTAGGAAAAGTGCAACCTTTTTCTTTGCTTAAGTTTAACCTTATCAGATATAAAGTTCTGACTATTCCTGCTGTAAAGAAATTGTTAATTTAAACCTTTCAGATATGTGCAGTGTAATAAACTGTTATGAAAGTTCTTGAACCTTGCTTCGAAGAGGTAGCAAGGCTACTTTTTGTAAATAACGAACATACACTGTACAAGGCAGTATTTTCCTTTTGAATCATTCTATGAAATTTTTCAAGTCTGGCTATGCTAATGAAAGTGTTAATTAATTTTTGCTGTGCAAGGTACATAGCAAGTTGTACAGTGGAATTCTGATGTTTTGAACCCTTAGTTTCTTTAACCTCCTGATAATTTGATCCTGGGGCCAATTCCTTAAACACTATTATTTTTATTTGGCCCCCAATTTTGAACCTCCAATAAGTGAACAATTGTGTTTTTCCCTGAGGGTTCAACAAATTGGGATTGCGCTGTGGTTCTTTTCAGTCTATTAAGTTACAATCAATGTAATTTTTTGTCAGAATCTGTGCAAATGAAAAGTAAGGGTGAGTCACACATTAGATTTTAAAATTAATGTGAATGTAAATATAATGTAAATTGCTTCTCTAAAATTGACTTCAGGTCCAGTGCTAAGTTGGATTTCTCTCTTGTTTCATTAGGAGAGCTTGTTGCATTGAAAAAAGTTAGAACTGACAATGAAAAGGAAGGATTTCCAATAACAGCAGTGAGGGAAATCAAGATCCTACGACAGCTAAATCACCCAAACATCGTGAATTTGAAAGAGATTGTAACAGACAAACCTAATGCTGTGGATTTCAGGAAGGATAAAGGTCAGTTTGGTTGTACATCTTGTGCTACAGTTTTCTTCAGTTCCAGCATTTCAAAATGAGTTTTACTTTTTTCCTCATTCATTATTATTCTAATGAGTTTGAAAAAGAGTGAAATGAATTAAAACAAATCAGGTTTGAAAAGTTTCAATCCACTGGAAGTAACCAAAAATACCCACATGTTTCACATACTCTGCATAGTGAGCATTTGACAACATTTCCTGAAGAAGACTTACATGTACGGTAAGCTGTCAAAATGTCGTGATTTATGGTCATCTCAAAAGACCTGTTTATTATTGTATTTACTTGATGAGCAAACAAAGCATTTTTTCCTAGAATTGCACTGTACAATGTATGTGTTCCTGTATATATGCAAACAATTTATTTCTGTATTTTTTTTGTCATTGCTTTGCCTTTTGTTTTGCTTCGTTTTGTTTTGTTTTTTTGTTTTTCTCTTTTGGCTTAGTTGTTTTGCTTTTATCCGACAATGTTATTCGCTAACAAAGAATAATGTTGATAGAGATGTGATGGTGAATTTTGAGCCTGGTGAATACATGAAAATGATGATTTTTCTGTCAGTGGTCCACAGCTTATTTAGTGGTAGAGCATGGCTGGACTATTAACAATAAGGTCATACATTTAGGTTCATCCCCTATTGGAAGGACTCAGATTTTTTTCTTCCAAGCCGCCTGTCTCACTGACGGAAAAATCATTTTTCTAATAATAGTATTGTTAATATTATTTTCTTTTATCACAGGAGGGTTTTATCTTGTGTTTGAATACTTGGACCATGATCTTATGGGTGTACTGGAATCTGGTCTTGTTCATTTTACTGAAGACCACATCAAGTCCTTCACAAAACAGCTCCTAGATGGGCTCAACTACTGTCATCGCAAAAATTTCCTTCACAGAGATATCAAATGCTCCAATATTTTACTCAACAACAAGTATGTTTACTATTTATAGTGTACCTCCATCTTTTTTATACATAGTGCTGGCTTATTCTTGTGGCTCTAACGGTGGATTATCGGATGTTAGATTTTTGTGTTCTACCTACATTGTACTGCTTGTTAGGTTTACCCTCTAGAATTGTTTCTGGTTCTTAACAACAACAACAACAACAAACAGAATCTTGCATTACTGCACAACTGCCTGTTCGATTGTGACATATAAGACAGCACAGTGACTACTTCTGTGATATGAAAAATAATGAAAATGTCCTCTTTTGTAGGGGAGAAATTAAACTAGCAGATTTTGGATTAGCAAGATTATATGAAGCAGATGAAAGGTATGCCGGGAATCAAATCATCTTTTAGTATTGAGATGGTTTAACTTCCTTTGTAAGGGAAACAAAAGTGCCGACTGTATTTTTTTATATATGTCTGTCTATATATTGTTGATGTTATAGGAGACCATACACGAACAAGGTGATCACACTTTGGTACAGACCTCCTGAACTTTTGCTGGGAGAGGAGCGCTATGGACCTGGCATAGATATCTGGAGTGTGGGGTGAGAGGCCTTTGGCTTTTTTACAAAAAATATTGTCGTTTTGATGGCTTATTATGCGAAGCAGTCAAAGCACAGATGAGTCCCTACATTCTTGATGAGCTTAATTCAGCCCCCCCTTTTTTTCTTTCTTGCTACTTAAAACAATCTCAACATTTACTTCGACTTGATGCTTATCAAATTAAGAAAAACTGTAAGTGGTATTTTTGCAAAGTTTTGTTTAACAAGGAATTGTTTTTTGTTTAGTTGCATACTTGGAGAACTGTTCACCAAGAAACCAATTTTCCCAGCAGTGCAGGAAATTGGACAGCTGGAGCTCATCAGGTGAGAATGTCAAACATGTTAAAATTGGTTACCTCCTCCTCACAACCAATCATAGTCTTAAAAAAAGTAGATAGTCTGCCCAGTCTTCAAGGCTTTTTGGAGGGTGTTGTTGTGCCCTCATTTCTGCAGGGGTTTTTTGCAGAATGCTGAATGACTTTTAAGTTGAGCGATTAGGGTTAGGAAACTGAGTGAATCAGGTTCCACTATTTTTGTAATTTGTTTACCCAAGCGTTGGTATTTATAGGGAGAGGGGAAAACTGGAGTACCTGGAGAAAAACCTGTTGGAGCAAGGGGGAGAACCAACAACAAACTCAACCCATTGATGGCGTCGATGCCAGGGTTCAAACCTGGGCCACATTGGTGGGAGGCGAGTGTTCACATCACTGCACCACCCTTGCTCATTAAGGGTCATTATACTGGAAAAACTGACCTAAAATGTGATTCACTCAGTTTCCTAACCCTAACCACTTAACTTCAGAGTCATTTGGTGTTTAACAGCCGTTCGGGATTCTGCAAAATACCCCTGCCACCCTCATTTTGAGTTCAAGGGATAAACCTCCATTTGTTATAACAAGGGGCTAACATAGTGTAGAAACATCTAGACCCTTTAAACCCCAATATCCAGATACAAATTCTCCAGACTGATCTCTATACATTCCCTTCAAAATAGTTGAGAGAATTTTTTAAATGATCTAAGTATTTTCTCTTTGGCGATCATTTCATTTCTTCTCATAGCCTTTTCTCTTATTTATGTATTGGTCTTGTTAGGAGAAAATAAATCCTGGTCACTCTTGGGACTAAGTTTAAGTACAAGTTCTAATAACTGTAGTAATGATTATTCTTTTTCCTAGTCGTGTTTGTGGAACTCCCACACCTGCTGTGTGGCCAGATGTGATCCATCTACCACATTTTCATACAATGAAGCCCAAGAAGCAGTACAGGAGAAGGCTTAAAGAGGAATTTAACTTGTAAGTTGGTGTATTAATCAAAACCCATTGTGTGATTCAGGGTGGTGCTAAAAAGGGCGTGTGATGACTTTCTTATGTCCATGGGTGAAAAGTAGTCTTAGTTTTTGCCTGCATGGGGCACTATTTCAAGGCTGTGCTCTAAGAAAGTGCTCTGAACTTGTGATTTTCTAATCACCCAGGAACAAAAGTATCATGACGGGAGCCTCCAGGCACTGCTATAGAACAGTTTTGCCATTACTTCAGAGCTTAGTGCTGTTGGGCTTGTACAATAAAAATCACTTTGGTCAGACTTGTGATCTTTGATTTCCTTGAGGTTTATCTCGTTCAATTCTTTGTTTGTTTTATTGCTGCGGAGCGACCGCAGGGAGCGAGCAGCAACATAATCAGGATTTAAAGGAAATATATATAGGGGCAACGAATTCTCGAATTCATCACTTTTTACCACAATGCATTGCATTTAACCACACTTTTTACCACAATGCATTGCATTTAACCAGAGTGCATTGTGCCACGAAGAAGTCAAATAATAACACGGGGAAGTTCGCATCGTTCGCTGCCCAGACTCAGAGTTTTCTTTGTAGCAAATTTTCTACAGCGCGGTTAGAGGTCTTACCAAATTTAAGACACGCAGGAGTCTTTCAGATGAGTACAATGGTTAACTTGGGGATTGGATTTCAATTCAAGAGCCTTTGACTCGTTCAGGTGTTAAACCTGATGAGAAGATGAGTATTTGCTCTTCGACTCCGCAACAGGGGGGATATACAAATTCCAGCTTGCTAGATGTGAAAGTGAGAAAATGTCATGCCATGCTATTCTTAAGAACCTGTATGAGCCGAAAATGGATGTGATTTTGACCATTCGCTTCAAAATAACAGCAGAAATCGAGATAACAAAACATGTTTTGTGTCCTACGTTGCAGAAGAGGACGTGTATCGGCGTTTTGAAAAGCATAATTGTGTTTTTTCATTCATTCATTGCCATGGAATATGCGTTTACATTGGTTTTTACTGTTAATAGCTCGATTAATGCGGCTGGCGATCATCTGGCTGGTGGAAGTCTCATGCAAAAAGCATTAAATTAAAGACTTTTCCCAAGATTACTTAATCAATCTCTGTGGTGTAGTGGTTAGGTGTAGTCGCGTCGAGCCTATGGTGCTGGGTTCGAATCCTACCGAACTTTTTTTTCCTTCTTTCTTTTTTTTTTTTTCCCCGTTTTTTGTGTTGTTGTTTTCCATAAATATATAACTAAATAACTGTTACTTAATAAAGTGCAATAAACAGCAAGAAAAGTATCGTGTTTCCAGAGAAATGATAGTACACCATATATTAAATATATGGATAAACAATCTGAATTTCTATCATTTCCTACAATTTACTGTGGGAAAACCAGAGTTGATAACCACTTGATCATTTTCTAAACAACGTTCCCCCGAGTTCTTTCTATAGACTGATAGTAATTATTCTAGTACTTTCCAACATGTAAATAGGACATTCAATGTCATTTTCGATTCTTTCAAGTCCCACTGCCTAACTAATGCCAGTATCAACAGAATGTGCCGCAGCATTACTATCTTTTAGATACCCTAGTTATATTTGCTCTTAAGATTCCCAGTGTTTGCATTGGTACTATACAGTCATGTACACTTAACTTAGAGTAAGTTCTAAGCATTTGGTCCCTGTTTCATGCATGTCCATTTAAAGGGGTGGGTAACTGCTTACTCTTACTCTCTGGATCTAGAAACTGAATTTTTGATTCGTTTCACAACACCAGGCAATTCAGAAGGAGACTCTACTTCTTAATCAAAAGTCACTTGGTTTTTTCCTCTCCCTGGAGCCAATTTAATTATGGTTTGTTTTTGTTTTCCTTAGTATGCCAGCAGATGCCTTAGATTTGTTTGATCGTATGCTGACATTAGATCCATCAAAGCGCATAACAGCAGAAGAATCACTAGAGCATGCATTTTTGAAGGACATTGTGTGTGAGAACATCAGCCCTCCAAGGTAATGAAAAGCCCAGTTGTTACATGTAGCTACGGGAGTTGTAGGCACACAGAGACAGCCACAGTGGGAGACCAAACCTGTCAATACAATGGCCATTTTCTATTTACCAAATAATTCTGCAAATTCGATGGAATTGTCTCTACTATATTGCTTGGACTACCTTTTCAAAGTTTTACTTATTCCCAAGAATTTTCCGGTGGAATGCCCACTAATAACATTGATAAATCTTATCTCCAAAATAATGTGAGGAAGAATGATTAGTGTCTGCTTTGTGTGACGGTGGTTAACATGGACAAATGTTGGCCAACCATTTTCTGAGGACCAACTGGACTGTTTTTAGTATCATTTTGCAGTCCTTGGTGCTTATCTAAAGAGTCCATCTAAGTGATCTGATGTTTTTGTGAAGTCATGTTGTTAATCTTTTTCACTGCTCTATTTAGCCTTCCAACTTGGCAGGACTGTCACGAGATGTGGTGCAAGAAGCGTAGGCGCAAAGGAGGTGAGAATAAAGTGACAGAAGATGGCACAAAACAAGTCAGGAGAGACTCTGTTGCGGGCGAAACTACTGAAACGTCAAACAACCTTCCAGCCATGGCCACAACAGAGGAGCAAGGTGAAAGAACACTAAAGCCGGTTGAAACATCTGCATTTTTGCGCCGGCAGAGTATTGAGACAGTTGAGATGGAGACGGAAAATAGCACATATGCTTCTAGAGAAGGACAGTCTTTCTATGATAGAGATCAGCCACACTGTTCATATGCCGATGAACACCCCAAGGCGGCATACTCACAAGATTCGTATTACCAACGTGACTATCAACAAGACTATGGTGAAAGCTCTAGACTCAGTGGATATAAATCATCATTGGAAGATTATCCTCCTTCATACTCTAGGGATAACATTGACAATGGAGGAGGACATAGATCATATTCTCAATCAAGCGTGCATTATGAACAACTATCACCCCCTGTGGATGAAACGAGCAACTCATACCCTGAACAGTATAAACGTTACAGTTATTCAGATGGAAGGAGAGACAAGGAGTTCAATGAGTCCTCATCAAGATACAGAGATGACTCTTCATCGTACCTTTACAGGGAGCGATACTCTGACTCTTTCTCCCAAAAGCGTGAGGTTTTTGACTACAGTAACTCACAATATGACCATTACCCGGTGGCTTCTGAGAACAGGGTAACCAGCCCTCAACGTGGGGTGGATTCTTATCAAAGATGGTAGCAGAAGTTCTTCAACTCCTTATGGACTTGTTAGTACTTAAATGGAGGACCTGTTTACAAAACAACATAGGTACACTGACCCATGCATTGATAAGCTTCTCAGCATGCTCTTTAAGTTGTTGTGGGAAGAGGTACTCTTCCCTAGCCTGCACCACAGTTGGGACTAAACTTCTGGTCAAGTCCGTCTGTGAAACAGCACTGAAGACCTCATTCTGGGCCCCCACTTTTGTACCAGAATTTGAGTACATGTATGTGCCAAGAAAACCAATTGTAAATTTGCCAATCAGGTTGAAGGGGAATTTGAAATACATTTCCAGTAATTTGTTGAGTCCGTCGGGGGCTGAGAACAAAGATATCAGTGCTGCTTTACAGACGTTACTAACTGGGGTCAGATTACGTCTGCAACACAGGCTACTCTACCCTATGAACTGAAAGTTTGCCTTCAGGTTATCCAGTCATAATTTTGGTGGAAAGGTTTAGTTTGAACAAAACAGAGTTCAGTTTGAAACCCTTTTGAAGATCAATACCAACATTCTCCAGACTGTGCTACTTACATTTTATGAGGAGACTAATAGAATACGTGACGTGGTCAATCTATGAAATAGATAGCAAATGAAATTTGGTATCATTTGTATTAATTGACTCAGCTAATTGATTGATATCACACCAGCTGATGAACAAAAATATCGTGACTTTAACCGCGATTGATTTTCAGCAATTTGTTTTGGTTGTGTTTCATTTGAATATTATTGGTAACTATTACAGCAGCAGCAATACTTCAACAAATCTCCAAAGTCATATAAGTACAATGACATGAGACATCAGTGATTAATAGCAAATGAAGAACTTGTGTCTTTGACTACCACTCAAAAATATTTGTCACCAATTGCTAATACAATTATTGTTATACATTATACTTTTGACTGGTACAAACTGGTGGATTGATTTTTTATCTTCAATTTTCATATATTGACCATGCCTGGTAAATAACCTCAAATCTTAAGTGGCTGAACAGTGTTAAATATTTATACACGAACCTACCATCCCAAGGTCAAAAAGTCCACACACTTTTTAAGAAAAGCCTTAACCTTTCCTATTAGTGGCTGAAGAAAACGTTTCTCCTAGAAAAGTCACATTTCTGTTGTCTTTCCTAAGAAATGAATCATGTTACACAAAAGTTGTGCGAAAGAGGTTTCATTTGAATGGTATCACCATAGGATTTCATCCACAGAATCAAAAGTTAGAACTACATACTAAATAAATAGCACCATGTGAAAGTACTGCTGAAGAGGTTTCATTTGAATGGTAACACCATAGGATTTTGTCCGCAGATATAAAAGTAAGTGACAAATGAGCTCACCAGCGATTGCCAGAACACATCAAAGAGTGAAAAGATAAAAATTCTTTCTAAGCTGAAATCCGAACATGTCTCAAAAAGCATATTATGAATAAGTTTTAGTAATGTCCATTGTTATTAAAATGTTCATTGTTTGTACTTAGTACAGGCAATCTCGTCTCAACATTTATGTGTAGGGTTGTATAGAATAAGCCGCTTGGTGACCCTGGATGTAATGTTAAATTCTCCTTTTGTTTCATGAACAAGGCAATTTATCTTGCAGTTTTTCAGAGGTAATTGAGGGCTTTTTCCACATTTACTTTCCAATGTACACAATTTCATTCATTAGCATACAATATTACCCATAGTGGTTGCGGTACATACAAATTCATTGAAAAAGTTAAAAGAGTTGGTTTACTTAAGTAATCATAACTATAACAAAATTCTGAAATCTGATTGGCTATCAACTGCCCTGATTTCAGCCTTAATTGGACAGTGCAGTAGGACAGTACGAGTCATGCCTAAGTAATTGGACAGTACGTGCCATCACACACGTGCTGAAATGACTTTTTTTTACTGCTAGCAAAAATATCTTGGAATTTCTTGTGTTTTGATTTTAAAAAAAGAGCCTTATATATCACAAATTTTGTTAAAGGTATGATATATTGGTAACAGAACTTCGTGTTTTCCAATTCGGTCTGTAATCATACTCGTGATTAAACAAATGGACTCCTCCCATTATAATTCTGTTAATCACTTGTATGATTACAGACCGAAAATTATTGGACTCCACTCAGTCCTGTTACCATTACTAATCTGGACAATTTTGAGCATTTGCAGGCAATATTTAAAGAAATATTGGCTGTAAAAGTTCATAGAATTAATTTTTTTCTGTGTGGCAGAAACATTAAATTTTATGAGCCCCATATTCTTTATAAGGCAGAAACTCTCAAAGAGCATCCATTATAACAGGCTTTAACTTTCACCGTTCCTCTATGACTTTCGATACTCAGAGTTGCTATTTTTATAGCTTGATCAGAGAATGCTGAGCATAGTGCTAATAAGGCAAGGATTGTAACAAGGATTTACCTATGCCTATGCAGCTTACTTTCAGTCCATATAGGGACCTTATGAAACTATGACGATGGTGGCAATGAGAACATCAAAGGAACATGATAGTTTTAATAAGCACAATAACAACCTGGCACATGCATCACGCTTTTCTGTCGATTTAGTAGCCATTCCCGCACAGCTATGATGTCAAATGACCACATTTTAAGTTCTCTAAAGAAGAGGAATGGCAAGGGGATAACTTTGACTGTATCTCGGCTGAGCTTGGATGCAGTCCTCACTCTTCATCTACAACTTAACTTCCAAACTATTAAACGACTTATAAAGTTGAGAAAATTGCAGAAATTCTGTAAAGATGCAATGTCAGTTTTTCAGGGACGTTTTCACTGGTGTTGCCACTGTCAGATCGTAAGGTCCCTGATACCAGGGTCACATTGCCACTTGTAAACACTGTAAACAGGCACTTGTAACAAGCAAAACTTTTCTATGTAAGTGGGTGCATATGTCAGTCTTGAACTGCATTTGCATGCTGCTTCGTCTACTTGCAACAAGAGAGAAGTGTACATAATTTAAATTTTATTTTTCAATGGCAAGAAGTTAGAGATCTTGTCATTGGCAATGTTACATCGCACAGATCCCTGTTTTTCTACCCCCTGTGTAATACATTTTACAGAAAAAAGAAAGTGTTTTTTCAGAGGCCAAACTGTAGAAAACAGCAATCCAAGTAGATTGGACATCATTGTAATGGAATAAAGAACATTATTTGTAATGAAAGAGTTGTTTAGTATGGCTTAGCTTCTGTAACCTGCAAACAGGCTTCAGCAGGGACATTGAGTGAAGAAAGGGGTGAGATGACTTCCCCTCCATCTTCTTCTATTTGTTCTTGTTTCTTCACTCTCCTTTCTTAGCAAAGTTCTTGCACATTTTTTACTACTCCTCAACCTATGCTGCACTAGACAGCCTGTCACAGGGTAGGCTTGTTCTTCCCAGGCCTGATTAATTGAGTTTTTGTAAGGCTGATTATGTTGGGCTCTTGAGTTAATGTGGTACGCTTAAGTCAAGCCAAGATAAAAGCGATCTGAGCTCTCAGTTAAGAAGGAAAGATTATTTAAGTTATGGTTACTTGGGTTATTTTTTGCTGGGTATGTGCCGCTGGTCTCTCAGAGCCCTTACCACATTGTAGTCTATTTTGTTGCCCATTGTAGACCCCATCTTAGTCACTTTTGGGCAAATACGTAATTTTCACGATCCCAACTTAATCACTTTCTATTTATGTATCTACCTTATCAATCCTTTAAATAGATCATCCTAAAATGAATAATAAATTGAATGAGTACAAATATTCTGGTACGTTTGCTAACCGTAAATATGAAGAACTTTCTCACGCCAAACGTCCGAAAATGTGCGACCCCATTCTAGTAACGCTATTGAAAATGCGACCCCATTATAGTCAATCCAGTCGTGAAAATGCGACCCCATCCAGCGGCACATCCCTATTACCCTCTTATAAGGAAGTGACCGCCCCCCCGGACCACAGGGGGGAGCCTCCCTGTATAAAAATTTTATGAGTACCCCCAGGTCCCAAAGTTAAAAATAGGTGGATTTAGCAAGGACTGTGCAATGTCAAATGAGATTACGAAAGCCAGCAGAAAGGAATGACAACAACCATGGAACTCCTTGGGCTCAATTTGCCATTTTGCCATTGGTCAAGCCGATTTTGAATCTGCAAGCATAGACATCACTGTCATCACATTGTCTTTAACACTACATCAGCCTACTATTCTGGTTCCTCCAGTTGTTTTTAAGATCATTGCACTTGGATAACTTTGTTGGCTTCTTATTGTGCTATTTTAAAATGTACTTTTGTCTGTGTTTGCATGGCATTTCACTATTACTAGGAGGATTGGTCAAAATTAAATTGACCAATCAACTACTCTGCTTATGGGCTGACATAGGTTTTGCTGCACAAGAGTCCACAGTCTGTTTGTTCTTGTCTTGTCCTAATCCCTTTTTATGAACATTGTTGTTTGCAAATGTGCAGGGATGAGAACTCGACAGATTTACGAGAAAAGGCAGACAGTAAGCAGTTTAAATAACCGGGTCTTTCTCTCAAAGTGACCTAACTATTTTTCAAAATTTAAGGTGGCTCTCAACCCAAGTGGTCATAATTTGTAAATTATGTAATGAATTCAGCTTTATGCCAAAAACAGCCATTGCTGAAAGGCCTTATTTAGCCTGTCAACAGGCCTTTGGTCGAGCGGTGAACTGGGGAGAGGGAAAAGCCACCCCCTTCGCTATTTTTTTCCCCAAAAAGAACCGAGAGCCTGTTCACAGGCTAGGCCTTATTAATTGACATATATTTGATTATCAGGACTCTCCATTTTCCAGCCTATATAGCACAGTCCCATTTCCACTGCATCATCAAAACAACTTTTCAAATAAAGAAATAGGATTGCTGGAATTATCATTTCTGCTGGTTTATTTTCAACCACACATTATTATTATTATTATTATTATTATTTCAAAATGAAGAGAACATTTTCTCAATAAAGTTAAAAATAATACTAAAACATGACAAACGATCAATTTTTCATAAGTACTTACAGGGATAAAGACCTGAAACAGTCAGTCGTTCATTGTTTACATGTCACTTTCTCGACAGTTTTTCACTCCTTTGTAAACACAGATACCAGAAGTAAAACCTTCTAACTATTTTCCGAAATTTTAATTACAACGGTAACTCTTTCGAATTCCTTAAAACTGAAGAAAATTATCTTTGACAGAATTTCCATTTTATTAAATACCCAAAAAGCTGAGAAAAGGAAATTCCCATGAGCTCTGTCAGGCGATTTCCGCAGCATTACATCTGTCAGAGTATGCATGGGCGTACCTGAATGGTGACGAGAATTGGCTTGTGCATTGATAACAGGGAAAAGAAAATATCTACAAAATAACACATTTCCTTTTCCTCCCTTCGCCAGCTTGTTTTTTCTTCTGCTTTTTAGCCGGCTTTAGACCGTCCTCCTTTCGCGACTTTATTTCTCTCATGAGGTCAAAGAACACTTTATCAACGTTCGCTTTGGTTTTCGCCGACGTTTCCACGCAAGCAACATTCCACTCTTTTGCTTTTGCGAGGGCTTCGTCGGCTGTTACTTGCCGCTTGTCTTCCAAATCAGCCTTGTTCCCAACCAACAGAAATGGAATATTTTCACTATCTCCCTTTACTCGAAGAATCTGCTCCCTGAATTCTGATGTAGCGTCAAATGATTCCCGCTCAGTGATCGAGAACACGCAGAGAAATCCCTCCCCGCTTCGAAAGTAGTTGTCACGAATCGCAGCGTAATCTTCTTGCCCGGCCGTGTCCAAAATATCGATCTGGCATTCCTCGCCGTCTAACACAACCTTCTTTCGATAACTGTCTGCTTTGGTAGGTTCGTAATCTTCGACAAACTAAAAAACAAAGTGTAAACTCGAGTCACTGATTTGTCAACAAATCGCTATCTGGCCCGGCATGACAGGAAGCTAACAGTAAAACACAGACCTTTTTTTACTATTTCGGTGAATAGAACTTACTTAACTTAACCTTAAACAGCTGTTAAAATGTGACATTAAGCTAAGTTTACTTGCTGCACTGTCGCAAAAACCGGGTGCAAAAAGATGACTTCTAAAACGTGTTGTACTCTCACCTCGTCATACATGAACTGCAAAGTTAGTGCCGATTTTCCGACCCCACCACTTCCAACCATTATAACTTTATGCAAGCCTAACTGCTTCTCCTTGGCGTTAGACATCTTAGCAATCTGTCTGCCCCTTTAAATTTTCCTAAACCGTACAGAACATGCACTGCTCAACCGCTTACTTCGTCAACCTTTATGCGGCTTGATGTTGCCTTCCTTACGTTTAGCAACCGCGCCTACCATCTGTATGTGTGACGTCCTCCACGTCATGGGGAGTGAGTCTAATCACGTGACAGGGGTATCAAGTCTATTTTAATATAGCAACGTCCGGGTGGGAGGTTAATAAATACATAGACGAGAGTATCTTTTTTATTTTACTTGCATGTATTTCCGAGACATTGATCAGGGATTATGTACAACACTTTCTACTAAAATTTGTAACCAGTCTAAGTTAAAAAGTTGAAAAAGTTAAAAATCCCAATTAAATTTGGAGAATCTCTTTTACATGAAAAGAGGTTTGTTAGTTGTTGCATTTAATTTTTTCAATTTCTCATTTTTTACAACTGAGAATAATAAGAGATAATTTTTTACACAGATCATGTGAAGGAAATAAAAATAATTTATTGACTGATGGTCTCTATGCATAAAAATCAGAATAAAAAAATGGCGATAATGAATAAGTACCAATTTGCCAATTTTTAATACTATGGGATTGGGCTGCTTTGGTAAAAATGTGTTTAAATATTAGATCACAGGCGAGGATTCACACTAGTTTCCACCGTTTTATGGAAATCAGTCAGATTTTTTATAAAAAATTAATATAATATACGTTTTCTGAATAATGATTTTTATCATTTTTTTTTCCAATTTCTGGGCATTAGAAATAATAAAAATAATCACAGATTCGAGGAGAATGGACCAGACAATATCCTGTCCAAATACCAGTAACTCAGAAACCCAGGTAAGGGGACTTTAGGGAGTTAAAATCCAAAAAATTTCCCAGGGAAGCATGCCTCCAGACTCCCCTAGAAACTTATGCCTTTGGCACTCATTTGAGAAATCGGTCAGTATTTATCCTAGATCCACGCATGGATCAAACCTGCTAAAACAAATTCCTTCAAGATAGGCACATACTCAGAGATCTAGGGGCAGTCCAACTTCATTCCTAGAGTTCTCTCCTACTTGTGCCTACGGAGCACAAGAACCTTGGGAATGAGGCTGGGTGTTGTCATTTAAGTCTGGAGCAACAGCACAACGAAAGTTTTTCATCAAGCTGTTTCACGCAACCCAACTCGCATTTTTGCCATATTTGCTAACATCTCTGTCACATTGCAATTTTTGCAAATTTGCATCTTTTGCTAATTTGAGACCAGTCCTTTTCGGAAGACTTCTTTCCACTTTTGAGTTGATAAGTCCAACCAATCGCTAAATTTGCTACTCTTGCTATATTTGCAATTTTTGTTATTCAAGTCAGCAAACACTTTCTTTTAAACACTTTTGCTAAACTTGCTAATGATATTTGCAAGCAAAATTTGCTACAGCTTGCAATCCTGGACATATGAAGGTGGCTCCTGGGTATCAGAGAATGAAATGGGCAGGACTGCAGTAGCCTGCGTAGCAGGCGTTTCCTCTCGCGAGGTTTATCTAGAAAGCCGGTACAACAGCAAAAAAAATTGAATGACGGGGGAGGGGCATTTCCTCTTCTCCTCTCCCCCTTCAACCTTTTTTTGCTTCCTCTCTAACTTTCGCGCAATAACTCGACTGGAAACGCTTGCTACGCAGGCTAGGACTGCAGTAACATATCAGTGAAGGGACGACACTTATAATAAGGGAGTCTCCCTTTAGAAGAGCATGATTATTGTTAGACTGTTCACAGTCCCCTATTTTTCTGTGTGATCGTCGAGATCGAGCGTGTCTTACCGTTAATGGTGGCCATCTTGATTTTCAGATGTACCGAGGGGGCGGGTGTCGGGGATGATACTCTTCCCCAGGTTAGACTCGGTAAAACTGAAAATCAAGATGGCAGCCATTAATGGTAAGACGCACTCGATCTCAATGATCTCACAGAAATATAGGGGAATGTAAACAGTCTAGATTATTGTATGACTCTCCTAGGTCAGTAAATATGAATACGAAGAAATAAGTACATAAAAATCAGATCCTAACTGCAGGGAGAAGAGAGGTGAAGACAAAATCATATTACCAGTAAGGAAGAGTACTAGTAGCCTTAAATTATTTCACTGCTATATTTTGCACCATATATGTAAACTTTGTAATTTCTTGTACCGATATTTGGCCACAATGTGTCTTGTTATAACTACCTGAATCAATTAGCTATTGCTTCCTGCAAGTAGATATTTCTCCCCTTTAAATTCATGCCCTAATAAAGTTGTTGCTGTTGCTCCTGTTACTATTTTATGTACAAAAAAAAAACACAAAAACTTTTAAAATTTGGTTTACAAAAGGTACTGTTTTACTTTATCATCCAAAATGTCTTCAAAGACAAGAGTGCTCCTTGACAGAACTGTTTAAGATTTGAATGCAATGGTTGTTAAGAAATTAATAATTCCTACATATCTTTGAAAATTTTACATTTTTCTAATAAATCCTCTTCGTTTGCAGTATAATAACTATCCCTCCAAAGTTCTTTCAGTTTTCCCAGCATCTTGCCAAATTCTGGCCCCGGTTTTACTCCAAGCTTTTTCAAGTGAGCTCCTGTGATAGGAAAAACTGGAACATCCCAGTTGTTGATTTCCTGAGCAAGATTATGTCGTCCTTGGTAGTGTAGCAGCTCCACAACATGGCCTTTAATCACATTCTTTGTCTGGATATTGGGTGCTGAGACTATCAAGTCTTGGTATGGCTTCAGGGGGTGTTCATGTTGTTTGGGTACCCTGTGTTCAGTGATAAATTTACCTAAGGCTCTTTCTGCATTGGAAAGCTTCCATTGACGTGTTAGATGCTCAGCTTCATCCACAGTCTTGACCAAGGAACACAACAGTGTCACTGGCTGCAGTGGATAGGCCTGGTGCTCATTCCATGCTCGGGACAACTCTTGAAAGCTTTCTTCGCAGTACTCTGGGAGACCTGATAATATTATTATTAACAGAGATAAAAAAGACAAATTTTTAATTTGTTTTAAAATACTTTTCATTTTGCTACCCTGTTTTAACCCGCAATCAAGTGCTTTTTAAAGACATAATAGAGAAATAAGGAGAAAATGATCACAGGCTAAAAATATGTTTAAGACAAGAGACCTTACTTCATGACCCTCATTCATTTTGCTTTGCATACAGAATTAAGAAATTTTTTAAACTAACTTCATGAAATTTGCTTTTTGGAAAAAAATGTGGGCACCACACATGTAGACTGCTCATCATCACCCTTAAGACTCTTTTCAAGTCTTCCACTCTAAAAAGACACCATGCTCAAGATGCTAAATAGCGAAATTGTATACCCTGTTTAAGATTCAAGACCAAGAAAACCATAGCTTGTTCAGCAGCACACAACCATGTCAACCATATTAGGGAGTGCTTCCCTCCAAACACTAATTTTGCGAGTACCCATTTATACACCAGGGTCAAGTGAGAGTATCTTGTCCCACAGCACAATAACCCCTGCAGGTCCAAAATGGGATCTCTCAATCTGGAATCCAAAGCACAAACCACTGGACCACCAAGCCTCTTGAACATACCAGAGATAACAAAGTTCATTTTCCCTCCTGAACAATGGCCCAAACAAAACAAACTTTCAGGGAGTCTGACTGCCAACATGATGAACCCCATTATGAGGAAAGCAAAACTAATATTTCCCATTCCCTTGTTACGTCATTGTTATTTTACAGGTTCCACCGGATGTATCAAGTGTCTTGAATCCAGAGCACCCCATGCCCCGGTTGTTCAAACGTTGGATAGCGCTATCCACAGGATAAATCACTATCCAGTGGATAACTATTAGGGAAACTAATTGCACTATTCACTGGATGGTGATTTATCCGGTGGATAGTGCTATCCAGCCTTTGAACAACTGAGGCCTGGTGTGTAGAGAGAGGTGACTTAAGGCACTCACCAATGAATTGCGCCACATTCAGGTCATACATTCTTCTTACCAGACTTGGCATATATTTTCCCGTTAGGATTTTGGAGATTTCTATCCAAATGCGTTCCACAGCTATCTTCTTCAGTCCCTCAGCACATTCTTGTATGACATTCAATGTCGTTGGATCATGATTATCCTCTTCTGAGGATATCCTACCATAAAAACGGAAATATCTCAAGATTCTCAGATAATCTTCCTGTATACGGAGCTTTGGATCACCTACAAATCGCACCCGGCGCTTCAATAAATCATCTCTTCCACCAAAATAGTCATACAGCGAGCCATCGAGACCCAAACTCATGGCATTGATGGTCAAATCGCGCCTCTCTGCGTCTACCATCCAGTCATTAGTGAACTCCACTTTAGCGTGTCTTCCATCGGTTTCAGCGTCAATTCGCAAAGTTGTCACTTCAAAATTATGCTTGTTGACGTGAACCGTCAGGGTGCCGTGTTGTAAGCCTGTCTCGATGTAATGAATGTTGCTCTTTTTGAACAACTCAATCATTTCTAATGGAGTCGCATTCGTACCTAAATCTACGTCTTTTGGTTTAATGCCCAGGAGGATATCACGGACTGCCCCTCCAACTATTCTTACATCAAATCCTTGCTTTTCAAGCGGTGTAGCCACTGTAAACAGTTCAGGAGTGAGGACGCTTTGAAACTCAGGAGAATCCACCAGGTTCTCCACCGCACTGGAAGACATTTCCCTACGGCCTGGATAAGAATCAGACCGCCAAATAAGTGAAAATGACTTTCCTCTCAACCCTTCAGACTTCCTAAACAGGTTAATCAGGCGGAGTGTTGGTTTAAACTTCGCTATTACCATGAAACGCGTTTACAGCGAACCTGTACAAACCTCCATTTTGTATTACCGCTGACTTGCTGGCAGCTCTTTGTGTATGCGTCTTGAATTTAGGTTTTTCAGTATTTTTTGTTTATTTATTTATTTATTTATTTATTTATTATTTATTTATTTGATTGTTTTAGTTCCTTATTTAACTGGGTCTTTGGATTTTGTTTTTTGTTAAGGATGTTATATCTTTTGACTCCTGGGAGTTACTGGGCGCGAATTTCCCTTAGAGATTGGATGGGGCATGGCTCCCAATTTCTAAGGGGAAAGCTCTTATCTAGTATGGGGGCGAGGTTGAGCGACACAAGACTTTTTAAAACATCCCAAGAGGCAAGCAGCAATGATAGGCAGCCGTTCTCGCAGGTTAACTTACAATCTTGTTTCTAAGAGATTTCAATTTTATCACCCTTGCGCTAGAATCGCGAGGTGTCGTTTTTCTTTTTCTTTTTCTATTTCTTTTTTTTTTTACTGGGGTTCCCTCTACGACTTGATTGGTCTAGCAAGCCAGATCTGGCCCAGTAGTTTAAAGTGGGTGCCGCAAGGTTTATGTTTAGCCATAAAGGAAATGTTCAAAATCGAGGGCCTCCTTGAGAAATGTATTGTCACCGAGAACTCACATTTCTACATAATTATCTCACTAACTAAATTTAGTCGAAGAAACAGGATTCACAAAAGGTAGCAAACTAATGACTCAAACCAATGCAAACCAATGACTGAGAGATCTGAGTCAGCCCCAGATCTCTCAATACAAACTATTCGCCTGGCGCTCTTTGGGCCCCATCCAGAGAAATCCTTCTAAGTTAAAAGTTATACTTAGGATTGTTTCGCTGACAAAGTAAATTACTTTAATTGCAAACAATAGAGCGTTTTCAGTCACGTGTCCAGCATCTATGCAAATTAATTGGAACACAAGAAAGCGTTTACGTAAGAAAAGAGTTCAACTCCCAGAGGATTGGTTTGGGACACCAACACGGCCGCCGTTTTATTGTTGTGGAACACTAATATGGCCGCCGTGACGTCATGTGAAAAACGCTCTATAGTTCGGAGTGTGTGTTATCTCAACCATTTGTACCCAGCCCTTTGGATGTCATAACAAACACAGGCAGCCCAATGACACAATACTGAGGGCCCTCGCCTCTAACAACACTGAAAAATGACATGATGTCTTTCTATAGAAACACACTGAATGATATAACTGACAAGCGATTGTTTTAGGAGTGAGGCACAATTGTTTGTATCTGCAACAAGTTTTAAAGTGCTATTCTCCATCTGGAGAGTCCAAGAGCACCTAGGCCTGTTGACCTCGTTGTGCAATACTAGTCGTAACAGACACAGGCAACCCAATAACACTCTAATGAGAGCCTTAGTCTCTATTAACAAAACTGACATGATGTCTATCTGTAGAAACACGAATGATCTAACTGAGAGTCAATTATTTTGGGGCGAAACCCAGTTACTTGCACTTCCACACGTTCATTTTAACGTACTAAGCTCCCTATGGACACTAGGGTCCAGGAACACCCTTTATCCGTTCAGTTAAAACTGGAAAGACATTATTTGAAGACAGGGCGACTGATTGTCGTGATAGCAGACCACAGCATTGCCTTGCCCGTTTAATCCAATGCTGATTGGAGGTTTGTCCAAAGATAACTTGCCCACAAGCGATCCATCCCATGTTTGGTGGGCGTAGATGCTGTCAGTGCCTGGATCTGCAATGAGAATATTTCCTGTGCTCTTGTCAATGGTGATTCCTCGCGGACATTCCAAATCTTCGCCGATTTCTCGTCGAAACGCTCCTCTCGCGTCAAACACTTTGACTGTTCCATCATCTCGATCGCAAACAAAAAACTCCTTGTTGTAGAAAAGTGCCTTTCTGGGACAAGCAAGATGCCCTTTTCCGAAGATAAGATCCTTGCTTTGCCGACCAACTTTCATATCAATAACCATCACACAGCTCTCGTCAAGCCCTTCTGAAGTTACGATGAGACGGCCATCTGAAGTGGGTGTGACGCTGGAAAAATTTACCTTTGAGCACTGGGAATGAATCAGACTTTGATATGTGGCGTAGAACATTGGATAGAACCTTCCGTTAAGGCGGTGATAGGCCAGCAACCGGTTATGTGAACGATTTACCACCAGAATACCATCAAGGCATTTATCGCTGACGAAGGCTATATCGTACAAATCACCAAATTTAACCCCAAATGATCTTAGATAGTTTCCGCTCTCCGTCAAGAGGTAGACTCGATTAGATTCGTCGTCAAGGACAGCCATTTCACCTTTCTCCACCGATACTGCGACGGTGTACGGGTTAAAAGATGTTTCTCCAATGTCATCAACTGTTACGGTCTTCAGTACTTGCGCTTTTCCTTGATGCCTAGTTGCTGAATCAGTTTCTCTGCTGCCTTTTGCCAGTTGTCCATAGCACTCTTTTTTCAAGCATTCTTCAAGGTTTTCGTTAGGAAAAAAATCCAAATCAAAATTGCGAGTAGCTTTGGAGGAATTCATTTCAAAATGGCAACTTGTTTCTAGCTTCTTTACGATGGCCACCTTTGACTGCAGCATCTTGGAGTGGCTTGGTTCTTTCAGGAAATCTTCTGCCTGCTTCACCGAAATTTCCAACCTCTTCAATGGGCTATTTACTTCACTAACAGGATTTTTGTGGGCAAACTTCTTCACGTAATCATTCACTTTAGCGATCATCATCTCTTCTTGTGTCTTAATCAACTTTCTAAGCGCGTCTCCCTTTTCTTCGATTCTTCTCTTTAATTCCTCTCCCTGCTTTTTTACATCTACAACGGCCCCACTGTGATTTGAGTCCTGAGCCATTTTCAAAGCCGTAATTTTCTCCTTGCTTCTCTCTAAAGCCCTCGCGATTTCTTGCTGAGCTCGCGGAACCAATGATCGTTCCAGCATTCTTACAATCAGCGTATTGGTGGGAATTTTTGAAATCCCTCCATTAGGAATCATAGCCTTTTCCCGACAGATAGGACACTCGAGGTAGCCACGTTTAGTCTTCGGTTGCGCTCTGACAATGTCCTCTAAACAGATTTTACACACGTTGTGCGCGCATCCAGGAAGGCATTTAGGTTCAACAAAATCTTCAAAACAAACTGGACAAGATAATTCATCCATAAAAGCATCGTGAACGGGGAAGGAAGCCATTGGAAATGTTTAACCCTGGACGCGGTATCAAGACAACTGCTTCGGAAACGCACTAGACAGATAACAATCTAATCAACGCCTAAGTTTATCGTATTGTTTCAATTTACAACCTTACATGAAAGTATCGCGTATGATTTCACCCATTGTCAAAAAAAAATGTTTTCATGATGTTCATAAATTGGTTTATTCACGTTTTTTAGTGGAACAAAAAGACATTGAAAAAAACAAGCAGCACTGTTGAATCACGGCTAATTTGACATAGAAAAATTTATTAGTGCGATTGTTCTTTAACACTACCAATAATATAAAGGAATATAGCCAAGCCCAGTTGTGCATTCCTCTTTTAGCCAGCACCTATACCCATGCTAATTTATTAGAAGAAGAAAACGATTACATCAGAAAAGAATTTAACTCCCATAGGATGGTACACCAACATAGGGTCACGGTCGTGACGTAATGTGTCGGCTTTGATAGATTGTGCTCGCAAAAGTAGCATAATAGGCTGCTAATAGTGCTTATATATTTCTAAAATTATGGCAATAATTATGTTGGTTTTTGTAAATGAAGATCATTTTAGCTAAAATGCAGAGCACGCGGACGCCAATCTCGTTCCCAGAGGCCGCGATCCTTTTGTACAGCGACGGGGATCTTACCCCATCCGCTGGACAAAAGTAAGGGAGGCTTTAGGGACGAGATTGCGCGGACGCCATCTTATGAAACAGAGCTAGTTATGCACATTCGCTGAGTCCTGTGGGAAGAGTCCTGGGTAGACTCCTGGATAATTTCCTGTGGGACTAAGGTCCAATAACTGTCACAACAAACACTGATCTTAGGGAAAAAAAAAGTGGTTGCATGATCAATAAATGACAATTTCGTACCGCAAAAGTAGCCAAAAGAGCAAACTTAGTATGCTAGCAGTGCTTTGTTCTGAAAATTATTCTCGTGGTTGCAAATTATGCCAAAAATTATGCTAGAGCAATCTATCAAAGCCTAAGAATTAGATCCCATCGACCTTGACCCCCTTGGACACCTTATGACGTTTACACGACGTACTATTCCTTATCGCTTCGGTTCCCTTTTCACTAAGCCATAGAGAAAACTACGTTGTATATACTTCATAAGATGTCCAAGGGGTTTTAGACCTATGGCATCTACTGCTAACTATTTTTTCTCGCCAAGCTGGCAGTAGCCAATAAAAGAAACATCAGTGTCTCCAAAACAGTCCCATAGTCCAATTCGTCGATCAATTTAGGTTTCTGGGAAACTGCTAACCTACCCCTCCCCTAAGCCAAAATTTTGCCCCATAAGGGAGGGGTAGGTGGGAAGTTGCTCAGAAACGTAAAGTAATCCCAGTTCGGAACAACATCTACCCAGCCTAACGCTAAACCGTTGTGATCAGTGCATCTTGCTCGCACCAGGAGCCATAATCGAGATTACCCCGATTATGGCTACGGGCTCGCACCTTAATTGGAGTATCTTGCTACAACAACAACTAGAACAATAACAACAACCGATGACACAAAATTGTGCGATCAGGCCATCTTGCTCGCACCAGGAGCCATTATCGGGGTTACCCCGATTATAGGTCCGGGCTCGCACCTTAAATGGGCTATCTTGCTACAACAACAACAACAACGACAACAACGACCAATGACGCAAAATGGTGCGTTCAAGGTATCCTGCTCGTACCTTAAATAGAGCATACAGCAACAACAACCACAACAACAACAACAATCAATGACGCCAAATTGTGTGATCAGCGTATTCTACTCGCACAATTGTGCGTCATGATAGTCAATGCCAAACTGCCTAAGATGCGTGCGCGACTTCTGTATTTGCTTAATTGCTTTTTTATTTTTCTAGCTTTGTCGGTAAAACAAAACACGAAATTTTCATTGTTTTGGGCTTTTATAAGTGAGCACAGAAAAACAGAAATTGCCACAGTACCAAATGCACTTGTCTTCACCAGTTCGGTTTTCACAGTTAAATTGAGTTGGAATGAGCCGCGGAGGATTTTCTTCGTTTGATTCTTTTTTTATGGAACCGATGCCCGAACTCGAACCAAGGGACTCTTCACTTTTCGCGAACATTTCTAACGTCGAGCAGCGATATATGTTTCAGGACATTGGTGAGTGAAAAAAAGTGATAGCTCTTTTGCTAATCAATACTGAGCAAACAGCGCCGATGTTTGGGTTGTGATTATTCCTCATGGCACAGATTCTGAGATAAGTTAACTTTGTTTGATTTCAAAGATGAATTAAAACGAAGAAGAAGAAAAAAAAGAATTGGAGAATTATGAATCTTAAAAGTAGAAACATGCGTATCCGCTGAATTTCAATTCCTGTCTGATCAGACTTTCTTCGAAAGGAGCAACAAAGACAGTGGTTCATTTCGATTTTAACCCAGGAAATTCCAAAAACAACATTTAATGCATAGCCTTCTTCTCCTTTCCTTTTTTTGTATAGGACACACAGGAAACTTAATTTTTTGCCGTGATACTGGATCTTCATAAACTGATCAGCTCTTTAGCCTTTAGTTAGTCGTACAGCAGAACTGAGGATACTTCAAGATCTCGGCGCGTTAAAAAATGATCGCACTTTAATTTTGCTGCTTTTGCAAAAGGCAACTTAATTTCGTTTGAGTTTACTGAGGAAATCTATCACGAGGATCAAAGATATTTTTCTATGAGCTTTACTCTGAATTTGGGTTTACAGAGTAAGTTAACAAGCGCGCTTTGCTTTTGAAATGTTACCAAAAATTGTTACAAAGTTGAATGTTAAGTCGTGCTGATAGATTAACAAAGGTGGTCTTCAAATCTCGAATCCATCTTGGAGAATTGCACAAGCTAAGCAAAATACTCCAAACCTAAGGTTAAAATTTTCACCGTTTAATTCTTAATTTTTTTTTGCCATTCATTACATGTCATCAATTTTTTTCAGTTTTTCATAGTGTCGTGTATTTACGAACAAAACAAGGTCGCAAAAATTTACTCAGGAGCGCATCAAACATTTTCGTGACTTTGATCTTGGTCAAAATGGCTTCCTTACGACGTAACAATGTTTCCCAGCCAATGAGTTTCATTTCCGACGAAACAAATATCTTCGTGTCGACAATGTTGATTATTGACGAAATTTTTCAAACAAAAAATATTTTGAACGCAGTTAATTCGTTTTGTTGATTTGATAAAGACTATTCCGGAATAATCCCAGAATCCCAGAATGTATTCCTATCGTACCCAGGCTTCGTTATTCGTGTGGCAGGTCACGTGATCTGAATGATCCCCAGCAGATTGTCGATTGTGTCGGATACCAAACTGCATGTTCGGGCGAAGTTCGGGTGAAGTTCGGGCAGGTTGAAACACCCCACAGGGGACAGGGCAAGAGTACATCGTCATCCCGCGAAGTCCATGGCCCCATCTCTCATACAAGGCCTTTGTCACAGCCTGCTAGCCTTTTATGTTTTACATTTTTGTTCGCGTCAAAACATACTCAGCTAATCAACAAATCAAAGCAGAGAAGGATTTCCAGTTTTTGAACCTCGTTCTCAGGGTTCTTCCTTTGTAAGGGGAAAATCGTTAGGAACGAGGTTAAGCAGGTCTTGTGGGAAAAGAAATAAAAAAATAGACTCAAAATTCTTTATTGCATGCCGTGGTGCTTATTTGTTTTAGCCTGTGAGAAATTTCCCTGTTTAGGGCATATCATAACAACAAGTCACGTTCGAGCGAAACGCGGGACTGGAGGGAGACAAGCGGAGAAAGCCCCCACAGCGCGTTCTTGCAGAGCTGGCTTCAATCGCTAACTATGGGCGTTTCAATTCAACAAAAATTCCAGTTTTAATTTCCAAAGTTCCACGCGCCCAATGGAACAGTATATTCCGGTTGCACATACCCGACGCAAGCCACCGCGCGTTTGGTTATTGTTCCCGTAAGCAGGATGCAAGAGTGGTACTAGGGATAGACCAGACCAGTCAAAGTGGACCATCTTCAATGGTGGTCCCAAATATTCCGGTCGGACCGAACCGAAATAGCCCCGTTTGATTTGATTTCTAACCAAAATTTCCGGAATTTTGGGCTGAATGGAAAGCGCCCTATATCTGTCGCTGAAGAAGGCTCCAAGGGTATGCAAGTGAATCTGGGATTAAAATGCTCACAGAAACGGGGGAATACTATAAGAAAGAAACGAAAAATAATATATTTCTCTTGCATTGGTTATATGTACTTTAGATGGTTTTGGACTGAACAAGGCAAAAGCTACAGTGGATCAAGAACTTTTCGTGACCGGAAAAGTCCAAGCTCAGAACAGAAATCCGCGTACAGCTTTTTCTTCGTTACAGAAACGTGTGCTGGAGGAGGAATTCCAACGTTGTTCGTATCCATCATCGCGAGAGCGGGCCATACTGGCGTATGTCCTGGAACTAAGGCCTGAAGTTGTGCAGGTAATCTTTCAGAATCAGTGTCGAGCGATTGTCTGGAATGATATGCCTTCATTCGACCTTAATTTAAATAATCCTGGTAACTCGAACTCTGAAGGGAAACGAAAAACAGTTCGAGTTAACGGGGTCGATTGCAAAATTCAATTTGCCATACTAAAAATTGATAGTTACTGATTTTTCAGCACTTCAGTGTATTTTTTAGTGCAGTGCAATTTTAAACTCATTTCATCAGAAACGGTAATGTGATTTGGCATTTGTATGATAGGCGTTATCTGTTCGCTGTACCAATTAAAATCAAATTGATGTAGTGTTGACCAGTGCCGTTGTTTCCTTAGAAAAGGAACTTACTAAAAGAAAGGCTAATGGAATTGAAACCGAGTGGATATATGGGTAAATTTCAGTGAAATTTTGATCAAGGGAAGTGAAATTTACTTCAGTTTTTTGTGCTCTTTTTGACTAAGTGGGTCTCGTGTTGTTTATCCCATACTAAACCGACTCTTACCCAGCCCCTTTCCGTTTGTAACTAGGCAATTGAACTACTTTTACTTTACGTTTCTTTCTTTAGAACTGGTTTAAGAGAAAAAGGTACAGACGGCGAAGAGAATCACCTTCCGTAGAGCATCATGCCCAGTCTTCAAACTCTGTTACTCCGGAGCAGTCAGTACCAACCACAGAGAATATTATCTGCCGTAACACCGTTATTCATTACACGACTGGAGGCGCTGTTATACAAATAAATTGAATCCGAGGGAAGTAAGAAAATTGAATGCATGTAACACTCTCAACAGGAAAGAATATTTTATATATATAGAATGTATAATAGTTTATTAAAACTCTCTTTCAGAAAAATCTTAATTAACGAGTTAAATTACAAAAATCTATGAATAATTCTAACAATTTACATTGTACTACAATAAAGATTAATCATACTTATTGAAATATCGAAATGTAAATTAATTTTCTGCCCTGTTGGTCCTACAGGTAATAAACTCATTAAACAAATAGATTGTGTCTGCGTTCTTCCTTAGATTGCGCTAGGGCTGATTAATGAGTGGCCTTGGCAATAGGAAGTGTAAAGGATGGCCTTTAGATTTCATCTTATCCAAGCACTTAAAACACCGTTCATCTGTTCTTTTCTATAGTCTTGATATGTTTGCTATTTCCAAGGCCTCCGTATAGGACTAGGCTTCTGGATAAATTATCCTTAGAGCCTTTTTTGCACCCCCTCGATTACATCGAATTGAGACATGAACTGAAAGCTTCTTAAAATCTATAGCTACCAGGATCCCACGGAGGAATATCCTTATAATTCGAATTCTCGATCACATCATCATCATCATCATCACCATCATCATCGTTTTAGTAGGGGATGAAAATAGTTGTCCCCTTTTGTTATCCCCTTGACAAAAGAGTTCATATTAATATGAATTATATCAAGAAGCACCTTTTCTAAACCCTTTTCTTGGACGCTAATTAGCATCAACATCTATAAGAGATATCAGACGCCAATTCTTTACCATTCTTTTCTCTTTTTCTTTCTATTCATCGTGGTAATAAAAGCCTGTTTCTGTGAGTTTGAAATCTCACCAAATTCGAACAAGAGAGAATGAGGGACTCTCTTCCTTCATTTTCTCTTGATTCGAAGGGATAATTTAAACTTTCCACTAACAAGTTTCCAAACAAAGGCCAAAATAACGCATTTCCTTACAAAACGTGGCGAACCGTTTACATGAGAACAAAAAGTGGGTCACCCTCCTAGCCGGACCAACTCCATTTAGAGAAAACACTTTGGCTGGAACAGCCTGGTCAAGTCGTTCAAGGCGAGACAATCATCAGAGCATGCGTGAGCGCTATTTTTGAATATCAGAGCACGCACAATGGGCACGAGCGCTGTTGCTTAGGGCAAAGAGGTGAAATTTTTCTTATATATACTCTCACTTTAGTTGACTCCGCTGGGAGTACAATGAACACTGCTAAGATCAGAAAGAAATGGTGTATCATGTCTGTCCACTGAATCTTAGGCCCTCAGACTACTTTTTTTTCTAAGGAGTAGTAAAAGAATTATCTCTTTGTGTCAAAAAAGTTTTCAGGAATGCCGCCGCATACTTCGTTGGCAAGGCACGCACTAAAGAACTCTAAATTTGTACCCAGGCAAATGCTTCGGTATAATACACAATCAATCAGTGATGAAGTTGATTTCGATAAGTTGAGTTTACTAACGATTCAACCTTATTCCGGAAATGAGGCATATTTTTCTGCAAGTTATATTAGCTCTGACTTTGTGTTGAGGGCTGGCTTAATTTTGAAATGTTTACCCACATTCGTTTCAAAGTGGAATGGAAAGTCTTTCTACAATTTGATTGCAATAATTTGGTCCAAAAAAACATTTGTATCTCCAAATCTAAGGCGCAACCCATTCAACAAATTTAAAATTTTTCAAACCTTTCGAATGGAACGCGTCTTCAAACCAATCTTCAGTTTAGTTATTTCGCCCCCCGTGTCAGTTAGATCGAACCGATTGATTTAATTTTCAGACCAAAATATCCGGACATTTTGTAACTGGAGATTGGAATGGTCAAATCATTCAAGAAAAACGGTGGACCATTTATACTGAAGCTTTTCGAGTTGGCCACCTAACCAAGCCATTCCTTGGACCAAAATTTCCAGATATTTTGGTTGAATGGAGCACAAACCTCGAATCTTGGGCTCCTTCGGACTGACTCATCTTTTTTCTAGAGAAAACCATTCGTTACACGAATTTTGTAGCAGGGGTAGTAAATTTTCTTCTAAACGCAAAAATAACGAAATTAACCAGTTTAATGATTTGAAATTCCTAATAGCGTCGCTATTTTCGACTCCTGGTTTCAAAAACAGATTAACACAGAAACTAAAATTTGATTTTTTTGTATCATGATATTATAAAGACGGTTATTAACACATTTTTTAATTCTTAATGATTAAGCATGTTCAGTAATCAGTTTTTTTCTCATTTTTTCGTTGTATCATCGGGAGTAAATTAAACATTTCGTGCAGAACATATTTTCGTGACTTTCTTTCCGCACAAAAAGGCTTCCCTATGACGTGGCCAAGTTTCTCAGTTAAATTTCTGACGTTAAAGACCCGACAAAGTTAATCTCGGTATTTTGTTTATTCATATCTGAGGCGTCAAGACCTTGCCTCGTTCCCAGACGTCTCCATCTTGACGTAACCGTGCGTGCAAAGGAAGGAGGGAAGGGGAAATCTTCTTTCTCCTTCCCGTGGTCCCTTGCACCTCATCACCACTCGGTTTCCGCGCAACGTTCCCTCCTTTATCGGCCAGAACTCTTAGAAAAAGTCCTGGGGACGAGGTTGACCGCGTGGGCTATCGTCTCCCGCGACGAAAGGGCGGGAATCGATGTCCCACCCATAAAATAAAGCTTTTCACGCCTACACTGAACTATTTTACTCGACATTTCTCTCTCTAGAACTGGTTTAAGAAAGTCGGTACAGATGGCGAAAAAACCGGCCATCCTTAGGGCGTCCTCTACCACCTCCTAACTTTGCAAACCTTGCAAACCACAGGTTATATCGTCTGCTGTTCTTTGATGTCTCTCCCAGCAAGGATTCTTCACAAAGAAGTCAAAGAAGACAGCGCCTTCTTTTCAATTTAGCAGAGAAAGGGACAGCAAATGAGAAGCCCTGGGACGAGGTTGCGTTGTTTTGGTACAGCGCAGAGCAATGGAAAATGGCGGAACATTTCACACGCTTCGCGAAGAAAAAATAGCCAAACTACTGCCTGCAAGCATAGCAAGAACAGCAAGAATACAATTCGAAAAATGGCATCTGCTATTCAAAGAATATCTGCTAACTGAACATCCCCACATGTCCTTATATATCTTTACAGGGATTTAAGAAAAATGAGTCAGCAAACATTTTGCAATTTCTCTCAACTTCCTCTGTCTTAGCTTGTTTATTGTGTTGTTTGTTTTCGTGACATCTTTTCTTGGTTGTTTCGTGGTTGGGGATTTGTGTGGAAGTGACTGTAGACCAAACTACTAGCAGTCTCTCTTTTTTCTTTGTCTGTCGAGCAAACGGGCGAGACACACAAATGATCACGCGCGTGACTGAAGGCGCCCTCGTTTCTCGTGTCTTCGCCGCTCGACGCTCGAGCACTCCCTCGCAGTCTACTGTAAACAGACCAGGAGACAGACTCAATTTCGCGAATTTGACGTCATTTCTATGGTCGATAAGAGTACAGACCATGGAAAATTGTTGTCGACTTGTTCAAAAGAGGCGACTGCTTAATTCACGGAAGAGGTTTTCTGCAACTTTGGTATGAGGTAAACAGGTTAGCTTTATGATTCAGGTTTGACCAGAAGTTTGACTGTATGCAGAATTTAAGTCAAGACTAAAGGCAAATTCCCTTGAGAACATTATGTTGACAAAACTTCAAGCCGAAAAGGTCTCTTTACGCGAGACTAATATTTGAGGAAAGTCAGTTGGTCTGAGCTTGTCTGCGTAGCCGGGGGAATCGTTATTTAGCGAAGTTTTTGCAGAGGAGGTGCGAAGCAGTGCGAGGAATGAGGAGGAGAAGGTCTTCGGAGCTTGCTTCTCGAGGCAAGAAAACTCTCACTTTCGCAAGAAACAATACCGCCACCTACGTCTTATCTTTTCGTGGAGAAAAGAAAAAAAATTGTGCGTCTTTTTGAAGCGATTCGCTGGCTTGTTTTGCGACCCTGGGATAAGAGTAACGTTAAAGGAATTCGGAGGTGAATAAGCGTGACACCAACTCTAGTCCTGGGACAAATCGCCGTAAGCTTTCTTTACGCTAGTGTGGGATACCCTATGCATGCAGTCAAAGGGTTACGCAACAATTGAATCATAGCTGAAAAAAACGAGTATGTCTTATCCAGATTATTACAATGACACTTAATCATTGAAGGTACAATACTTTATCTTTTCACGAATAGCTGCTACTTTTATACAGGTCATGAACTCGACACACCCCCGTAAAAACTATCACACTTAATTCACGTTAACGAAGAGTAGAAAACTGTATTTCTCAATGATTTTCACAAAACTGTGGTACGAAGGAATTACATTTCTACTTAACTCAATACATTCTTGCCGATACTGTATTATAAATTAAAACGACATGTCCATTTACGTCCGTTCGTATTTACTCCAAAGACTTCTACGCGCGTGTAAATCAGTTACTTTGCGCAACAACAACACAAGACATGAATTATACAATTTCCTTGTGCCACAGCAAGCATTCGTCCGTTTAACGCAGATTTTACTCATCTGTATCCGATGATAAATACCTCGCTCCAATCCGCTGCCTTTCCCTTGATGCTGCTCTTTTTCTCGGAGCCATGCACCAACTTGATGCTCAGTTTTCCATCACCTTTAGGGAACCACATGTTGGAAGAGTTAACAGCCTTCACACCCTGGCCAGTGGCAACATTCATGTACTGGGTGAATTGCTTGCCATCCTTGGTCGTAGAAATCTCGTAGTAGCCTCGTTGGAACTCGCCTTCTCCGCTCGTGGTGACGAACGTATATATGAGCACCTCGTTGGCGGAGTCAGGAAGCTTCATGTCGTAAGTTTGTACATCTTGGTTAAATTCAGGAAGTTCGCCCAAGGAAGTCGTCGCCGGTTCGTACAGAGCCATGGTTTTAAATGTGCAAGAGCTGGGTTTGCAGAAGCTTTTTCACAAGAATTCGAAGCAAGAGAAGCTGCACTTAAAAGCGACGGACGAA